CAAGGGAAACACAAGCAAAAATAAACTATTGGGACTTCATTAAGATAAAAAGCTTCTGGGGGCTCCTGGGTGGCTCAGTGGGTTAAAGCCTCTGCCTTCAGCTCGGGTCATGATCTTAGGGTCCTGGGATCGAGCCCCGCATCAGGTTCTCTCTGCTCAGTGGGGAGCCTGCTTCCCCCTCTCTCTCTGCCTGCCTCTCTACTTGTGATCTCTCTCTGTCAAATAAATAAATAAAATCTTTAAAAAAAAAAAAAAAAAGCTTCTGCACAGCGGAGGAAACAATCAAACTAAACTAAAAGGCAACCTATGGAATGGGAGAAGATATTTGCAAATGACATATCTGATTAAAAGGTTAGAATCCAAAATATATAAATAATTTATAAAACTCAACACCCAAAAAATTGAATAATCCAATTAAAAAATGAACAGAAGACATGAGTAGCCATTTCTGCAAAGAAGACATCCAGATGGCCAACAGACACATGAAAAGATACTCAATGCCACTCATCATCAGGGAAATGCAAATCAAAACTACAATGAGGTGCCACTTCACACCTATCAGAAAGGCTAAAATCAACAACACAAGAAATAACAGGTGCAGGCAAGGATGAGGAGAAAGAAGAACCCTCCTCCACCGTTGGTGGGCATGCAAATTCGTTCAGCCACCCTGGAAGACAACATGGAGTTTCCTCAAAAATTTTTTAAATAAGTCAAGCAGAGAGAGTCAATTATCATATGGTTTCACTTATTTGTGGAGCATAAGAAATAACACAGAGGACATGGGGAGATGGAAAGGAGAAGGGAGTTGAGGGAAATATGCCTGGGGGGTGAACCATGAGAGACTATGGACTCTGAAAAACAACCTGAGGGTTTTGAAGGGGCGGGGGGTGGGAGGTTGGGTGAGTGAGGTGGTGGGTATTATGGAGGGCACGTATTGCATGGAGCACTGGGTGTGGTGCATAAACAATGAATTCTGTTACACTGAAAAGAAACTAAATTTTAAAAAAAAGTTAAAAATATGGGGCGCCTGGGTGGCTCAGTGGGTTAAGCCGCTGCCTTCGGCTCAGGTCATGATCTCAGGGTCCTGGGATCGAGTCCCGCATCGGGCTCTCTGCTCAGCAGGGAGCCTGCTTCCCTTCCTCTCTCTCTGCCTGCCTCTCTGCCTACTTGTGATCTGTCTGTCAAATAAATAAATAAAATCTTTAAAAAAAAAAAATAAAAAAAAGTTAAAAATAGAACTACGCTATGATCCAGCAACTGTCCTACTGAATATTTTCCCGAAGACTATAAAAAGACTAATTCAAAGGGATACATGCCCCCCGATGTTCACAGCAGCATTATCTACAACAGCCAAATTATGAAACCAGCACACATGTCCATCAACTGATGAACTGGTAAAGAAGAGGTGGTATATATATGTACATTGGAATATTACTCAGCTATAAAAAGAATAAAACGTGGGGCGCCTGGGTGGCTCAGAGGGTTGAGCCACTGCATTTGGCTTGGATCATGATCTCAGGGTCTTGGGACCGAGCCCCACATTGGGCTCTCTGCTCAGCGGGGAGCCTGCTTCCTCCTCTCTTTCTGCCTGTTTCTCTGCTTACATGTGATCTCTCTCTCTGTGTGTCAAATAAATAAATAAAATCTTTTAAAAAAGAAGAAGAAGAAAACCTTGCAATTTGCAAGGACATGAAAAGACTTAGGAAGTATTATGCTAAGCAAAATAAGTCAGTCCAAGAAAGACGAATTCTACTCATATGTGGAATATAATAAACAAAAAAAAAAATGAACAGATGGAAAGAGAGAGAGAGGCAAACAAAGAAACAGACTCTTAACTATAGAGCACAGAGATGATTACCAGAGGGGAGGTGGGTGGGTAGGGGATGGGTGAGACAGGTGATGGGGATGAAGGAGGGCACTTGTCCTGATGACCACCAGGTGATGTACGGAAGTGTCAAATCACTACATTGTACACCTGAAACTATTATTACACTCTATTTTAACTAACCACAATTTAAATAAAAACTTAAATAAATACAAACAAAATTTTTAAAAATGTACTGGATTGCCATCAGTAGAAGTGTTCGAGCTGAGGGGAGGCAACTATGTCAAAGCTGAGATCAAATTCCTGCTCTGGGGGAAAGGTTGCCTTGGAGGATGTGTAACGTTCTTCCTATCGCTAAGACTTTACAGTTCTGTGATATGCAGAAATGGGTGGGAGAGCATAGGAGTAAGGTTGTGCACTAATTGCAAATTTGCCACCCACTGTCTCCAGTTAAAGCACTTTCTAAAGACCCCTTAAGGGCGCCTGGCTGGCTCAGTGGGTTAAGCCTCTGCCTTCAGCTCAGGTCATGATCCCAGAGTCCTGGGATGGAGTCCCACATCGGGCTTTCTGCTCAGCAGGGAGCCTGCTTCCCACCCATCCCCATCTCTCTGCCTACTTGTGATCTCTCTCTCTGTCAAATAAATAAATAAAATCTTTAAAAAAAATAAATAAATAAAGACCCCTTAAGCGATACTGAACGCTCATCAGAGAGCATAAACAACAGTTTCTTCGTAAAATCAATACCTTTGGCTAGCAGATATATTTACTTTTGATTACTAATTTCCAGAAGAGTGCCCCCAAATAATAAAATCTCAGAATAAAAAATTATATCAGAATAGAAGGATAAACTACTTTATTTAGTCAGTGGGATACCAATCAGCAGTTAAAATCCATGAGCAAGATCTCAAAAACATAATGTTGAGTGATAAAAATTTGCAAAAGGGGGGCACCTGGGTGGCTCAGTGGGTTAAAGCCCCTGCCTTCCCCTCCTAGGGTACTGGGATCGAGCCCCACATCGGGCTCTCTGCTCAGCGGGGAGCCTGCTTCCCCTTCTCTCTCTGCCTGCCTCTCCGCCTACTTGTGATCTCTGTAAATAAAATCTATAAAATAAAATTTTCAAAAGGATACATACTATATATCCCCATTTATGTACATTAAAACAACTAGAGAATGATAATATATATTATTTATAGATCTATCAATATAGGTAGCAAAAGCATAAAATATGTATGGGAATGATTCATCTAACTCTAAGATTATGGTTACTTTTGGGGAGAAAGACGGGAAAGAGTTGGTGAGATGAGTTTTAATTATATCAGTAATGCCTTATTATTTAAAAAAATAACCTGTAGCACAAAAAGCAAAGCATCTACATCTGTACTGGGCTGACAGGTCCTTATTATACTACTATATCATTTTCTGTACATTTTTGTGTGTTTTAAATTATACTGAACCAAGAGTTCTAAAGAAATTACACTGGAGACTATAAGGTCCAGTCCTTCTATGAGCGCAGAAATCTCTGGTCACTCGGCCTTTGTTCTGACTCTTCATTCTCCAAGTTCATTTTATCCCTATATTAAAGTAAAATATGTTTTTTGGTCAGATTCCCCTCCTTGCGCCTGGCTCTGCCCACACCCCTAGGACAATGATGATGATTCTCTTGCATTCCCTCTGCTGAAATAATTCACAGGAGTCTTACGGCAAATTGGTTAAAATATGCCTCATGTGGATAGTATGTCAAACTCATACTGAATATTTTTTACTCCAAAAGACATCTTCTCAGCTAGTAATATAATTCAATAAGGGATAAAACAAAATGAAATGTATAGAATAATACCTTTAGTCCACTTTTGAGGAACTAATATATTCCAGATATTTAAAGAACCATAAAAGTCACCTCTTTCCCCTCACTTAAAAAAATGTTTTGGGGCGCCTGAGTGGCTCAGTGGGTTAAAGCCTCTGTCTTCAGCTCAGGTCATGATCTCAGGGTCCTGTGATCGAGCCCTGCATCGGGCTCTCTGCTCGGTGGGGAGCCTGCTTCTCCCTCTCTCTCTCTCTGCCTGCCTCTCTGCCTACTTGTGATCTCTCTCTCTCTCTGTCAAATAAATAAATAAATAAATAAATCTTTAAAAAAAATAATTTTAAAAATTTTTTAAAAAATGTTTTTAGAAAAAAAATATTTTTAGGGCGCCTGGGTGGCTCAGTGGATTAAAGCTTCTGCCTTCAGCTCAGGTCATGATCCTGGGGTCCTGGGATCAAGCCCACAGCTGGCTCTCTGCTCAGTGGGGAACCTGCCTCTCCTTCTCCCTCTGCCTGCCACCCCCCCACTTATGCATGCTCTCTCTCTCTCTGTCCAATAAATAAGTAAATAAATAATCTTTTAAAAAGTGTAATAGAATAGAAACCACTGGAATGTAATCTCATTGAAATAAACATTGTGAAGCTTTTGCTTGCATTTTTAAAAACTCGTACACACATCTCCTGAGTCACAACATAAACCATATTTTTTACTATGAGTTGCAATAAAAAAAAAGACAAGTTTGAAAACAAGTGGGTAGACGATAGCGAATGCTTACAGAAGGTCCTGCAAGCCAGGCTTCTTTAGTTTAGTCTGAAACACGAAGTGTTCAGATTTGCTGGGTATGTGTGATATGAAGACAGGAACCAAACAAGAACCAACTAAGATCAGCCTGGGGCTCAGAATCTCTCTTTGCTGGGGCCCAGTGACACAAGTAAGAAGTATTCTGCTTCCTGCTTTGTCCAAATTTAATTTTCACAGGATCGCTTTTGGAAGCTGTATTATTTCATCTCTACACATCACAGATAAAGACTGCCCTGAGCTCACGTGCACAAGAAAAATCTAGCAAATTAACCTGCTGTGCTATTGTTGACACTCTAGCAAACTGACAAAGCCCGGCAGCCTCGACCTTGATCCTCAGTAAACCAAAGTGTTTGGGATTCCCTACCCCCGGCAAGACAGAGCAATTAGCCCGGAGAGCCCGAATGCAGAAGAGAAACAATTCATGGAACCATTCCTTGTTATACCCTCAGGAGGGAATTAGTAAGAGCTCCCTCTCTCCTCAGAACACAAACAAACTGAATGGATTGTAGTTTCTGCCCTTCTGTAACGTAAATTGCTTTTTATTTATTCTCACATACTGAACATGCAACCAACCTCGAAGAGCGTGAATCCTGTTGGGGTTAAGGGCATACATGCCGTACCCCAGATTGCCATAGACATTACTTTTTATCAAGACGTCTTCTGTGAACAGGTTGCGAATGAGGTATCTGGCTGCCAGCTCTGGGCGAGACTTCCCTTTGGCTATAGTCAGTACTGAATGTGGCAACTGTATATTTCTACCCGGATTTCCAAGATATTCTAGAAGCAAAAGAGGAAAAAGATGTCAATGTTCATGGCAAGGTCAAGTTTTGTTTTTTTTTTAAGGCTTTGATTTTTCTGAATTTTTAGGCTCCAGAATTTGAGAACTTAAAAAATATTAAACCCTTAAGCTTTTAGTGTATCATGAGATAGCATGAGAAACGAAACAGGAATCACAGCTGATGTGATTACAGATACTCCAGTGGTTCAGGAAAACGACTCAGTGTTCTGTAACCTTGTAGGACAGAATCAGTTCTATTAACATTATGTTTATTTTTCATAACAAATTCTAAGTAATTTCAGTGCACTGTTATCCTCTTTATAACAAAGACTTGTTCAAAAAGAAGCAACAAGATTCTTACTGAAATATTTACAATTTTTAAAAAGCAGGTTTTCTGTTGGGTATTAAAGTCATCATTTAAAAATCAGCAAACTCAGCTATCATATTTTAGTTACCTTACTTGAACTGAAAAATAAATTTTAAGCTTATTTTCATTCCTCAACCCCACAGCCTAATCATCTTCATCTCACCTCAGTCCTAGTGATTCAAATTAACTACATTTAAAAATATTCTATTTTATATACAATAAAGAATTATTGGAGAAAATATGTTAAAGAAATATAATATGATTCTTACATGTCAATAAGCGTATTTTTCATCTTGGAACATTCATCATTTAATGGGTGGCCGTATTAATTACTGAATCTCCCAGATCCAGCCTTTACCAAGAGACACTGAATTATTTAAAAATAAGTTCATTTAGTGGGTCCTAAGACTTCACTCTAGAAGATTCTCCTAGTAGTATTTATCAAGGTCAGAAAAACAGGTTAATACTCTTTAATCTGGTAATTTCAATTCTGAGAACCTAATTTAACAATCCAAGCAGTGCCTGGGTGGCTTAGTTGGTTAAGTGTCCAACTCTTGACTTTAGCTCAGGTCATGATCTCAGGGTCTTGGGACTGAGTCTTGCGTCCAGCTCCAAGCTCAGCATGAAGTCTCCTTGTCCCCCTCCCTCTGCTCCTCCCCGCCATTTGCATGTGCACACTTGCTCTCTCTCTCAAATAAATAAATAAATAGAATCTTTTTAAAAGATAATGCTAAGTCTTCTGTTCATGAACATGGGATATCTATGTATTTAGGTTTTTCCTAATTTATTACAAAAATATCTTGTAATTTTCAGAAAGCACACCTGGCATTTCTTTTAATAAATTCATCCCTGAACATTTTATTAAACAAAAGGCTCCATGCATAGTTGGGAGTCTGCTGGAGATTCTCTCTCTCCCTCTCCCTCTCCCCCTCTTCCTGCTCACTCGAACTCTCTCTCTCTCAAATAAATAAATAACCTTAAAAAAAAAAAAGAAAGAAAGAAGAGAATCTGGGACTCCTGGGTGGCTCAGTCATAGAGCGTCTGCCTTCGGCTCAGATCATGATCCCAGGGTCCAGGGATCAAGCCCCACATCGGGGTCCCTGCTTGGTAGGAAGCCTGCTTCTCCCTCTCCCACTGCTCCTGCTTGTGTTCCCTCTCTATCTCTCTCTCCCTGTCAAATAAATAAATAAAATATTTTTTAAAAAGTAAAGAATCCAAAATACGTACAAAGCTATCCAAATGAGTTTTTTGGCAACATGACTTGTGTGACTGATAATCCCCCCCCCAAAAAAAAACCAAAAAAAAAAAAAAAAAAAAAAGGAAAGAGGCAGGTAGTTAAATAAGTTAGGAGATACTTACTCAATGGAATATTATATACTGTTAAAAGCAATGATCATAAACAATGGAGATTCTTGAGGGAAACACACATATTATGTTTATTTTTTTTAATTAAAGATTTTATTTATTTATTTATTTATTTATTTGACAGAGAGAGACACAGCGAGAGAGAGAATCCAAGCAGGGGGAGTGGGAGAGGGGGAAGCAGGCTCCCCGCCAAGCAGAGAGCTGGATGCAGGGCTCAATCCCAGGACCACGGGATCGTAACCTGAGCCGAAGGCAGAGGCTTAACGACTGAGCCACCCAGGTGCCCCACACATATCATATTTAAAAAGAAGTGTGAATATATAGAGACCATGTTTTAAAAGGTAAGAAAAAAATCAGAAGAAAATTAAAATGTTCATAATAGTTGTTTATGGTATCTTGATCATAGGAGCCTTTCTTTCCTGCAGAATATTTTCGACTTTTTCAAAACAAAACGGTGTAAGAGACTGTACACAAAGTGGGCAGCTGCCTGGCTCACAGTTCATTTAGTTGGCCCTATCTCCTGGTTCTAGACCTGGGACCTAAGCGCTGCAGATCAGATTCTTTGTCCTAGGAATCTAACAGGGACGAGAGGGAACTAGAACGTTGAGATCATGGAAGATGCAGACAGAGCCCCACAGACCTCAGTGGACGCCAAAGGTCACAATCTAAGGGTTGGCAGTTTGGCTCCTGTTTACGGCTCGGTTTGCTCCATGCTTCTTCAAATCCAGGAGCTCTTCATCCACTGATTTTTGTTATGGTTTAATTGGGCCAGGGTTTGTTTCTGCAGTATACAGCCTGAACAAATACAGTAGTTATAGGGGTGCCTGGGTGGCTCAGTGGGTTAAGCCTCTGCCTTCGGCTCAGGTCATGATCCCAGGGTCCTGGGATCAAGCCCCGCATCCAGCCCTGCTTCCTCCTCTCTCTCCGCCTGCCTCTCTGCCTACTTGTGCTCTCTCTCTCTCTCTGTCAAATAAATAAACAAAATCTAAAAAACAAAAAAAATCCAAAAAACAAACATAGTTATTTTACCTTTATAATGGAAAAAATATATATAAAGATGCATCTTTTAAATAATTTCATTGGAAGAGGTTCACAGGTCATATCCTACTGAGGGTTGGCAGGGGGTCAGGGGAGAGACAGAAAAGAGTTTTGCCACCTCAGGTGCCACTAAACCCAAGCAGACTGAGGAGGAGGTGTCGGGAAGCACGAGTGGCAGGTGGCACAGTCACCTACAGAACCCACTGCCACTTGATACGAATGAAGTAGGATGTGCCTCCAGCCGACAGCGAGCAGTGGGGGCAAAATGTTCTGAGGAATGAGATTCATTAATTCACACAAAAACTGTTTAAGGAGCACCTGCCATGTGTCAGGCACAGAGAGAGCAAGACCCCTGAGTCGCAACCCGCTGTAGCTCCTTCTCATGCCTAACCAGAGTTCGCCCAGCTTGAAGGAACAGACCCAGAGCTGCTTTCCGAAGGAAAAATAGCAGATGTAGCTTAATGTTAAAAACTATCAGTCTCGGGGCACCTGAGTGGCAAAGTTGGTTAAGCATCCAACTCTTGGTTTCAGCCCAGGGCGTGACCTCAGGGTCATGAGATCGAGCCCCGGGCCGGGCTGCCAGCTCAGCACAGAGTTGGCTTAAGGTGCTCTTTCCCTCTCCCTCTGCGCACTCATGCGCTCTCTTTCTCTCTGTCTCGCAAATAAATAAATAAATAAACCTATCAGTCCCTGAAGTAGGTTTCTATATTTCATTAACTCGTTAATAGGAGAGATTAAGTTGTTTGGATTTCTCATTATGAAAAATTTCAAAAATCTTTCAAAGTAGAACAGTACACTGAGCCCCATGAATGCATCATCCAGATTCAACATTTAGCATCAAGAGAACTCGAATTAATAACTCACCCAGTGCTTCATAACATATCACTGAATTCTCAGTGGGAAGTTCTTGAACTCCTTGAGGGTAAACACTGTTGTCCCACCAAGAATTCCCATTTTCTCTTGTTTCGAAGGCAATGGTTCGCTCACAAAGCTGGGAACTGCTTTCATGGCCATCAGTCCCCCCTTTATCATTCAAATGTGCAGGCACTGGGATGTGGAGACTGGGGGGGCCTTTATTGCTGTCACCAGTTCTCTGCTGAAATACAACATTGTGTCTATAACCAAAGTCCCCTCGTGAGAAGATATGGTCACACTCCATCACCTGCCAGAGTCCCCCAGGTTGGCAGGGGAGCAACGGTCTCTAATCAGGTCACCAGAAACCCCCAGGTAGTGTGCGCCGTGACAGAAGCAGACATGTGGCTTAGCCTCTTGGAGGGCTTGGTAGCTTTATCTAATGATAACTGCTGGCGCCAAATAAGTGCTTAGTAAACATTTCCTGAAGAAACGCGTAAATGAGTCTCTTCGGAGTTGACAATTTGGGGGGTTTTCTTTTTTTACCATTCTTGTTTGTTTTCTCTTTTTCCCCAGTGGCTAGAGACTCTAGGAATCTCTAAAGACCTTGGGGATCTTTTTTTTTTAAGCCTTGCTTGAGACCCACTTTCTTGGCGTATGTCACTAGAACCTCTGGTGCCAAGGGTGGGAGAGCTCCAGCATTCACGACTTCCTTTGAAAGCGTCTCCCGTGACTCGGTGACAACCCGCGCTCTAGGCCAGGGCTTCCCACACGGCTCTGTGCACGTGAACCCCCTGGGGTCTTGCTAAAATGCAAATTCTGCCTCTGCAGGTCTAGCGGGACCCTCAAGACTCTGCGCTTCTCACAAGCTTCCCTGCGGGGCTGCCACTGTCGCCCATCGGGGACCGTCCCCCTCCGAGTCAAGGACGCGGCAGGTACATGGCAGCTGCTGCTTCTCTCCTGACGCTGAAGCACGTATGCAAATTAGCATTTTCTAGGCAGCATCATAATTTTACATTCAAATGTTGAGGGTGCAATTTTTGTAGGATAGAAAAGGGAATGTGAAAAATAAGCAGATTTGGTTTCAGACAGATGGTGCTTGAGCTATCGCTGAAATCAAGCCGTTCACCAGGAAAACAGAAGCTCAGCTACAGATATTCTGGGCAAATAGTTTCCATGCACTTACTCTAGAGATGCAGGACCAACGAGACATGGCGAGAATAACATGGGCTTTGTAGAGAGGTGGGTGGAAACGAGAAATTGTTAAGTTAAATCCTTCAACAGGAGAAAGCAAGAGACATGACACTCTCCCCTGCGGGCCCATTCGTGTTAAAAAAAAAAAATCTCTAATGCACTTTCATGATCGAATGGATGCGAGAAAAGCCAGATTCCTGTTTAACAAGTAACTAGGGACACGGTAAGATACGGGCAGCAGGTGAACCTCACGGCCAGCACGACATCCACCAGCTTCTGCCATCACTGAAAGTGGACAAAGACAGAAGCGCCTCCCTTTGCTACCATGCCACAGTCTCCCCTTCTCTGCGGTACTCAGCGGGATGCTGAAAAAGATTTCCCAAACATCTCTGCAGCTGAGAACTCTTCTTCATATACCCTATGCCTTCAAATACACCGATCGTAACACTCCATTTGATTTATTTTCTCTTTAGGATATTTGTATGGAGCATAAATGTCAAAGAGTAAAATAAACAGGCAGAGACCATACACTGCCCCCAAAATTAAATAAACAAGATTTTGAACACACGGCCTAAAGATCCCGTGTGTCACACTCTCCATTCTGGAACTGTATACAGTATGCCCTGATACAGCAGTGACCATATTTAAATAAAAAATAACTTACTGGTGCTGTGATGGATTCAGCACATAAACAATAGATCAGAGAATTGATATCAGCAACACAGGTTTTCCAGTCTTTTCCACATTCACGCAAATCATGGTTGGGAAAATTTGTTGCCAGATGTTCTGCAAATAGTGGAAAACATTCATGAAAATTTTATAAAAAGAAAACAAAACCCAAAGAACTGATGAGACTTTTTTAGTTGAAAATACTGACATTTTCTATTTTGAATTGCTGCTCTTTCCTCTCTTTCTGAGAGTTCAAAAATTCTACCAAAAAAGGATGCTTTCCTGAGTATATCACTTCTTCTAAGGTGCAATTCCCCTATAAAATACTGATGTGGGGAGCCACTAATGAGGTTGTAGTGCTTTCATTAAACTAAGAACAGATACTATACTTAAATCTTAGCCAAAAAGCTGAGAAGCGATGAGGTTATGGTGCTTTCAAAAAAAAGTCTGTAACAGAAGGTCAACTATTTCTGGGGGCTAATGCCATTGAATAGCCCTATGGATATATTAAAACTGAAAAGGAAATCTGTAAGCAGAAAATGGTGTTATAGCCAACACTCTTAGACTGCAGTGTATTTATTTGGGACACTACGTGTCCGTCTTCCCTAGAAGCTATTCCCTCTGCCTAGAATATCCTTCCTATTTGTATAGCTAAGGATTTCAAATCTAACTCAAGTGTTCTGTCCTTAGTAAGCCTCCCCCAATGCCCTCAGAGTAGTTGCTCTACTCTCTGAGCTTCTACAACATTATCACCCTGGACTGGGATTGATCTGTTTCCCTCAACAGTCCCTTTCTAGACTGTGAACTCCTTGAGGTCAGAAATACTTATTCGTTGTGGTCTCAGTGCCCATGAGTCTACAACCTTCAACCAAATCGCTGGAAGCGGGGAAGGCAGGAGGCTGAATTAGATTAATCATGACTTTCTATTTCTCTTTTGCCTGTTAGTAGTACCAAAGTATGTTTTAATCCTCCCCATTTTTTTTGGCTTTTTTCTTTATTTTTTTAGTACCAAGCTTGAGCACTAAAAAATGGACTTAGTTCTAGCCATAAGCAGCTATAATCAATAAAACTTGTCTTGGGGCGCCTGGGTGGCTCAGTCGGTTAAGCGCCTGCTTTCAGCTCGGGTCATGATCCCGGGGTCCTGGGATGGAGCCCCATGTAGGACTTTCTGCTTAGCAGGGAGCCTGCTTCTCCCTCTCCCTCTGCCTGCCACCCACGCCCCCCACTTGTGCGGTCTCTCTCTCTCTCTCTCTCTCTCTGTGCAATACATTTTTTGAATCTTTTAAAAAAAATTAAAAATAAATCTTGTCTTATTCCCTTAGTCTATGGACAAGTTGCATTCTTTACAAGTTGTTACCCATTACATTAAATTGTAAAATCGGGGTCAGACAGGTGAAAAACAGCTCTAAGATTTACACAGTCTTCATCACTAGCTCTTAAACTACCAATAACATTCATGAGGCGACCCAGTGATGATCAGACAAGACTTCATAAAGACTTTACATACCTCTTATTGCAGCCACTTTGTTTGGATCTAGAGGTTGGCGGCCTTGGGAATTGATGCCTACCCAGCTGCGCACCAGAATTTCCTTGGAGAACAAAACATGAACCAAGTAGCGGGCTGCATGCCTTGGATGGCTCTTCTTTTGCGCAGTCAGCAAATTAGTATTAAGCAACCTGACATTCCTTTTCGGATCACCAAGATACCCTTTTAAAACACAGAGAGAAAGTAAAGTCTTGGTTTTCTCATGCAAGGCTACCAAGAAAGTGCCCAAGAAAATTAAACTAATTGATTTCTAATTCACTAATTTCTACTTGGATGAATCTTTTCCTATACTTCTCTCTTCCTTAAAAAGGTCTCTTTGATGCCATCTGCATAACTTAGCATTTTTCACCTTTGCTCTTCTTGAATTTTTGGTACTTGAACTAGTCATTTCATTGTCTTGAATAAATTCAACTCTCAGGCCAAAGATGCACATGCAAGCATGTGGCTCCCTTTTATCATCTAAAAGTACACTCGGAGCCATATTACTGTAGGAGTATATGTTCCCTAAAGATAATCTGGAATGTATGGGTGGGCATAATTAAGAAAATTTTGAAAAAGCTAGCATTTATTGAGTAACTACTATATATACCAGGCACTGGGCTAAATATTTTACATCTATAAGCTTGGTTTCATTATCCTAACAACTTGTTATCCCTTCGAAGAGGAAACTGAGGCCCACAGAAGGTAAGGCATTTGAACAAGGTCACAGAGCCAGGTTTTAAATCTGTTTAGAAGCCAAGTGCTGTGAACCATTACTCTGCTAATGCCTTCTAGTCTTCTTGTTATTTCTTCTTTTTTAAACACAGAATTAAAATCATACTTTGTATATAGTCTGAATCCTGCTTCTTCAGTTACCATTCTATTTCAAGCATGTCTTCATTTTCTTTGGTTTTTTTTTTTTTCAAGTCAGCATTCCTAACTTCATGATTTTCCTGACAGGTGACATTTATGTTACACTTACCTTCTGAGCACTGTGTTAAGGGCTTTCAGTGAATTATTCCATTTGAGTCTCACCCTTCTATGAAATAGGTACGATGATTTTTGTCACTTCCCCAAAGGAAGAAACTAATACTTAGGTTAGAAACGTGGCTGAAGACCACATGGTTAGTAAGACACAGAGCTGGGAATTGACCCCAGACGGTCTGACTCAGGAGCCCATGCTCTTGACCATTGTGCTTTACTGTTTCATACCCCACGGATGTACCAGGAGTAACTTAGCTAATTCCCTATGGTTGCTCGTTTGGCTGTTTCCGATTTTTCACGATTCTGAAAAGAACATTCCTGTACCAAAACTTAAATACAAATCTTTTCTATTGATTGAATTTTCAGATATCAGTGGGATTACTGAGTCAACTGGCATGAATACTTCCACGGATTTTTTTTTTTAGTTTTTTTTTTAATTTATTTATTTGACAGAGAGAGATCACAAGTAGAGAGGCAGGCAGAGAGAGAGGGGGAAGCAGGCTCCCTGCTGAGCAGAGAGAACCTGATGCGGGGCTCGATCCCAGGACCCTGAGATCATGACCTGAGCTGAAGGCAGAGGCTTAACCCACTGAGCCACCCAGGAGCCCCTTCCACAGATTTTTATACAGATTACCCTTCAGAAAGTTTTCACCACCGTATACTTCTAACCACAGCATATCATAGTGCCCATTTAGTAATAAAGAATACAATATTTGAAGGTTTTTCTAGTTTAGTTAGCAAAACAATTTAAAAGAAAAGCATCTCCTCTAGGACAGGAGTCCGCAAACTACAGTCCCCAGGCCAACCCCAACACCAGTTTGTGTAAAGCGAGTTACACTGGCACACAGCCACACCCATCCATCTACCTACATCTGTGGCTGCTTTCATGCGACAGCAGCAGAGCTAAGTAGTTGTGACAGACACCAGATGGCCCACAAAGCCTAAAATAGTTCCGATCTAGCCCATTACTGAAAAAGTTTGCTGAGCCCTGTGCTAGAATATTAATAAGAGAATAGCTACCAGAAGTAGAGACACAAAGGAACTATAAAATATTAGGAAGGCTTGCCCTTAGAAACTACAGAACTTAGGGTCCCCTCCTCTTTGCCACTGTGGCTTGGCAGGTAATACAGGAGGCTGTGAAGAAACATGAGCTTTAAGTCAGAGAGGACCGAGAGTTCCAGAACTGCCACTCACTAGCTCTGTGACTTTGAGAATGGAAGTAATAAAAACACCTACTTAGGAAGTCATTTGAATATTAATAGAGAAGAGATATGTCAGTTGATTAGCACAGTGTCTTGTACATAATACTCAATAAGTGTTAGCCATTCTGATTAATATAACCTAAAACCAACCTTTAAAATAGAAAACAAAAAGCTTCCGTTAGCCTGTATCAAGGATGTTTGAAGAATATAGGTTAAATGGCGCTGCTTGTAATGTGTCATTTCACACTTACCAAAACCAGAAGCTCCGCAGAGAGATGGCGAGATAGAATCCTGGCTATTGTTCTTTTCCAATACAACTGGGTAATTCATTATCTCAGGGACGTTTCCCACTCTGTTTTCTGCTTTTAACAGTATTTCTACAGGTAAAAGCGCTGGAAGAAAAGGAGTCTCAATTGTAAATTCACCATCCAGCAAACTATCGTTCAGGTGTGAAGGGGAAATAAACACATTCTCAGACAAAGAAAACCACAAGTGTTTGTCACTAGCAGACCTACTCTTAAGGAGCGGCTACAGGAAGATCAACAGAAAAGTTGTGATGACAGAAAGAATCTTGGTGCATCAGGAAGGAAAAGGGAACAACAGAAATAGCAGAAGTATGTATGAAGGGAAACTTGATCATTCATTCCGTATAAAATGGAACAGCTAGGGGCGCCTGGGTGGCTCAGTGGGTTAAGCCTCTATCTTTGGCTCAGGTCATGATCTCAGGGTTCTGGGATCGAGCCCCACATCGGGCTCTCTGCTCAGCAAGGAGCCTACTTCCCCTTCTCTCTCTGCCTGCCTCTCTGCCTGCTTGTGATCTCTGTCAAATAAATAAATAAAATCTTTTAAAAAAAATGGAACAGCTACACTGGAAAACAGTTTGGCAGTTTCTTATAAAACTAAATCTTCAATGATCACATAACACAGAAATTTCACTCTTGGGCATTTATCCCAGAGAAATAAAAGCTCATGATATGACACCAAAGCCTGCACACGAGTGTTCTTACCTTTATTCGTAATAGCCAAAACCGTGACAACCCAGTTGTCCTTCAACAGGTGAATGGTTCAACAAGCCATGGTAAATCTAATACCACAGAATACCATTCAATAATAACAATAAATAAAGAACAGAAGAGACAGAAATATGGATGAATATAATGCAATCATGAGTTCTATAAATCATGCTTCATGACCGACACAAAAATGAAAACGCCATCTGACATCCAAGACAATAAGTTAAAAGTAAGGAGGGCAAAGGAAACTAAATGGAATTAAAAGTTTCAATACTTCATTCAAAGTGGTAAAATGCTGAGACCAGTAGACTGTGATAAGTCACATATATATAAAATAACATTCAGAGCGACCACTGGGAAAACTGTACAAAGCAATATATTAAAAAACATAAAGATGGAACACTAGAAAAATATTCAGGTAACCCACAGGAAGGCAAAAAAAGATAAACAAAAGAAGAATGAGAGGGGCGCCTGGCTGACCCAGTCAGTAGAGCATGCAGCTCTCAATCTCGGGGTCGTGAGTTCAAGGCCCACACTGGGTGTCGAGATTACTTAAAAAAATTAATTGAAGGGGCGCCTGGGTGGCTCAGTGGGTTAAAGACTCTGCCTTCAGCTCAGGTCATGATCCCAGAGTCCTGGGATGGAGCCCCTCATCGGGCTCTCTGCTCAGCAGGGAGCCTGCTCCCCCCACCCCGCCTCTCTGCCTGCCTCTCTGCCTACTTGTGATCTCTCTGTCAAATAAATAAATAAAATCTTTTTAAAAAAATTAATTGAAGAAACTTTTAAAAATGAGAAAATAGGAAACAAAAGAAATGTAACAAAATGATAGACTTAAGTCTATGATAGCAATAATTATCTGATATGTAATTAACCTAACCATATCAATTAAATGAAAACAAGTGATAACGTGGATAAAAAAGATCAATTCTGTGGTGTTTACAAGAAACTCTACAAATTCAATTACATAGATTGATTGAAAGTAAAAGGATGGAGAAGCATATACCATGCAAACATGAGTCCAAAACACAGCAGAGTAGCTGTGTTGACATCAGATAAAGTAGACTTCAGAGCAAAGAAATTTACTACAAACAAAGATGAAAAAGATCAACCCCGAGGAAGACAATGATTCTCAACATACCAAATGATAAATTCTCAAAATACATGAAACAAAAACTGAAAGAGCTGAAAGAAGAAATAATGAAATCCATAATTAAAGTTGAGGACCTCACATCCCCCCTCTCTTAGCAACCGGTGCAACAAGCAGACCAAAAATCAGCAAGGATACAGAAGATCTGAACAACACACGCAACCAACAGGATTCTCATTATAGAACATTCCACCCAACAAAACCAGAATAGATTTTTTTTTTCGAATGCCTGTGGAACAAATGTTCCTCTGTGCCAGGAAATATGTGCAAAGTTGAAATGCCTGCAGATCTTTCACCAAAACAAGGCACATCCTAAACCAGAGGAAAAAAATCTCAACAAGTTTAAAAGAAAGGATATCATATAGAGTATATTTTCTGACCATAATAGAATCAAATTAGGAATCAGGAATAGACAATAGAAAGTTTTCAAAGAAATAATAAAATACATAGGGCTTAATGAAAATACAACACATCAAAATATAACTAAGGCAGTACTGAAAATGAAATCTACAGCATATATCTGTAATCTGAAATTTATAGCATAATATAAATGCTTATATTAGAAAAGAGAACAGTTCTAAATCTATAATCTAAGTTCCTACACCAACAACTAAGAAGAGTAAAATAAACTCCAAATAAGCAAAGAGAATGAAATAATAAAGAATAAAAATCAATGAAACCGAAAAATATGAAATCAATGAAACAAAAAACTGATGCCTCCAAAAGATTAATAAAGCTAATAAAACTCTAAAAAGAATTACAAAAAGAAAGAGATGACACAAATCATCGATACCAGGGATGAAAGAAGTAATCCAGCAGCCATCAAAATGATAATAGGGAATACGACAAACTGCTTTACGTTCATAAATTTGATAACTTAGAAGTGTTGAACCAATTCCTCCAAAATTACACAAACCAAAACTCAACCAAGATGACATAGATATCTAAGTAGTCCTATAACCACCAAAGACATTAAATTTGCAATTAAAAGCCTTAAGAAAAGGAATCTATAGGCCCAAATGATTTTACCAGAGATTTTTCACCAAACATTTAAAAAAGTAACACCAATTTCTCATATACTCTTCCATAAAATACTATAAAATTATAAAGAAGGAGAGAACACATTAGCCCTTGAATGGGTTAGAGATGAAGCCAGGGAAGGAACGACACACCACATGGTTATAAACAGGCAACGAGAGGGTTCTTGGAAGTAATGAGACACTTCTGTATCATGACTATAGTGGCAAATACCTGAACGCAAGCATCTTACAAAAGTACAGAGCACAAAACACACATGCAAACAAACAAATGAAAACAAGTAAGTCTGGGGACATATGAATAGATGTGTAGATTGTATTGATGTCAAAATCGTACTTTTGATATTTTACTCTATTTTTACAAAATATTAGCCTTGGGAGAAATGTGGTTAAGGGTACATAAGATCTCTCTGTATTAATTTCATGTATTACATGTGATTCTGAAATATCTTCAAATGAAAATTTTAATTTTGAAAAAGCTATCACTAAGAATTCATATTAAGAATGTTGATGAACGTAAATTAGAGAGTGCTACTCACAATATGTAATTTTGTCACAACATTTCAAACTCACCAAAACCAGGAGCAAGAAAGAAAGATTCTGAGCCAGTATCTTGTTTGTTGTCATTTTCCATTAAAATTGGGGAACTCGTTGTCTCAGAATTCATTTCTTTGCCAGATTCTGTTTGAACAACATTTTGATTAGTGAAACATTTTCAAGTGCTGCAAGACAAGAAATCTCAACAGTGATTTTTCTATCACACGAAACTATCTTTTAAGAATGAAGCAGAAATAAAGACATTGTCAGACAAAGGAAAACTACAAAAAAAAATGTTGCTGGCTGACTTATCATTAAAACATGGCTAAAGGGAAATATGAGCAAAAGGATATAATGAAGGAAGGAGTCTTGGAGCATAAAGAAGGAAGAAAGAAGAACAGAAAGCAGAATCGTGCACGCAGAAAAAACGAGATCACTCATAAATCCCTGGTGGGAGTAGAAATGGTACAGCTACACTGGAAAGAAGTTAGGCAGTATCTTACAAAACTCAACTTACCTTTACCGTAGGACCCAGCAACTGTGCTCTTGGGCGTTTTCTCAGAAAAATGAAAACTGATATTCACACAGAAGCCTGTACACGAGTGCACATGGCAGCTTTACTCCTAATAGCCCAAAACTGGAAACAACCCAGACATCCTTCAACCAGGGGCAGATAAACAAACCATGGTAGATCCATACCATGGAATAGTAGTCAGCGATTAAAAAGGAAGAACTAGAGACATACATGGCAACTTAGATGAAGCTGGAGGGAATCATGCTGAGTGAGGAAAGACCATTCTGAGAGATTATATGCCATGTGAGTCTATCTACAGAAAGCTCTTGAAAAGACAAAATTCTAAAGAAGAAGAGCAGATGAGTGGCTACCAAGGGCAAGGACAGGGCAGAGTAGGCATAAGAGAGTAGGAAGAGGGAAACAGGTGTGGGTTTAAAGGGTGATGGAGGGTATGAAACCCAACTCACATCATGAAATTACAAACATAAAACTGAATACACACACACATAAACCTATGCACAGATACAAATAAGACTGAGAACATCTCAATAAAATCCGTGGATTGTATCCATGTCTATACACTGCTTGTGATACTATAGTTCCACCAGATTGTATCATTGGGGGAAACAGGGTGAAGGGTATACAGATGTGCAGCTAAAATTTTCTCAATACAGAACTTCTAATTTTTACCTAATTAATTTTAATTAATTTTTAATTAGGAAAAGCTACCATTAGATCACATGAAGGGTACTAATGATTCTAGATCACATAGGGCTACTTGTAATATGTTTCATTTTAACTCACCCACATTGGAAGGAATGAAGTAATATGCTGAAGTTTCTTGACCATTGTCATTTTCCACCAAAGCTTGATAATCTGTCATCTGGGTGCTATTCTCCAGGCTGGTTTCTGCTTTGACCAAAACTTCTATAAGGACAACATTTTTTAAATGCTAGAAGAAAAGACTACCAACCTTATGTTCTATATCCAATGAAACTATTCTTCTGTACTGAAGCAAAAATAAAGATATTTATGGACAAAGAAAACCAAAAATATGTCACTAACTGATTTATGCTTTAAAAAAAGGTTAAAGGAAAATCGTCTTACAAGAACGCATATAAAAGAATCCTGGAGCACTGGGGAGAAAGAACAATGGAAAGAGCAGAAATATGGATGCAGAGAAACTGGATCACTCATGCATTGTTGGCAGGAAAATGGTACAAGCTACACTGGAAAGCAGTTTGTCAGTTTCTTATAAAACTAAGGATGCAATTACAAAAGGACCCAGAAATTGTGCTCTTGGGCATTCATCCCAGAGAAATAAAAACTTGTGTGAAAGAGTGCAATGAATGGAAAGCAAAACTAAAAATGATAAACAAGTATCATAGCAGCTCTAACCCTAACATTTAAAAACAGGAAACCTGGGGGCGCCTGGGTGGCTCAGTGGGTTAAAGCCTCTGCCTTCAGCTCCGGTCATGATCCCAGGGTTCTGGGATCAAGCCCCGCATCGGGCTCTCTGCTCAGCAGGGCGCCTGCTTCCTCCTCTCTCTCTGCCTGCCTCTCTGCCTCCTTGTGATTTCTGTCAAATAAATAAATAAATCTTTAAAAAAAAAAAAAAAAAACAGGAAATCTGAAGGTTTTGAACAGATGAAGAGATTTAAAAAAATCTTGGTGTATCCCTACATTGGAATAGTACTCAGCAAGAAAAAGGAAGAAATGACTGATCCCTGCAGCAACACGAATGAGCTCCCAGGAAATTACACTGAAGGAAAGAAACCAGTATCAAACACCATGCAATTCCATTTATAGAACAATGCTGAATGGACAGATTATAGATCTGAACAGCAGATTCTAGATTGCCAGTAGTTAAGAGACAGGGCAACACATGGAACTGGGGAGAAAAGTCCTCTGGAGGGAGTAGGTGTGGTTACAAGAGAGCAATATGTTGTGATAATTTTCTACTGTTTTTGCAAGATGTTACCATTGGGAGAAATCGGAGAATGAGAACACAGGTTTTCTCTGTATTCTTTTTTACAACTGCACGTGCAGCTAAATTTTTCTGAAAATAAAAACTTTGATCAGAAAAAGTTACCACTATCAGGGTGCCTGCGTGGCTCAGTCGGTTAAGTGTCTGCCTTCAGCTCAGGTCATGATCCCAGGGTCGTGGGATCAAGTCTCACATTGGGGTCCCTGCTCCATGAGAAGTCTGCTTGTCCCTGTCTCCCGGCTCCCCCCCCCACTTGTGCTCATTCTCGCTCTCTCTCACTCTCTCTCAAATACATAAATAAAATCTTTTTCTAAAAATTTAAAAAAAGAAAAATCTACCACTATCTTACACTAATGTTGATGAATCTAGATTAAAAATGCTACGTGTCAAATGTATCATTTCAAACTCACCGAAACCGGGAGGAAGGCAATGTAACGAGGAAATGTCCTGACTACTGCGGTCTTCCAATAAAACTGGATAACTTATGGTCTCAGGGTTCTCTTCTGGGCTGGTTTGAGCGTTTACAAACATTCCTACAATTAAAATATTTTCAAATACTGAAAGACACGAAATCTCAGCCGTGAAATCTCGATCGGGCAAAACTGTCCTTCAATAAAGGAGCAGACTTGTGAGAACATTAACGAATGGACTTGGAGGGCATTATGCTAAGTGAAATAAGCCAGACAAGTAAAAAAAGACAAATACTGCATGGTATCACTTACATGTGGAAACTAAAAAGAAAAAAAAAAAGTCAAACTCATAAGAACAGAAGGTAGAATAAATGAACAGCAGTTGCCAGGGGCCAGGGGGGTGAGGGAAGTGGGGAGAGGCTGGTAAAAAGGTACCAACTTTCAGTTATATGGTAGGTAGGGAAAGAAGATCTAGTGTACAGCCTGGTGACCATAGCTCGTAATAGTGTATCGCATCACTGAAATTTGCTTAGAATAGAACTGAGCATTCTCCCCGCCAAAATATGAAAGGTAAATATGCAAGATGGCAAATATGTTAATGAACTCAATGGCAGGAATCATTGCACTAGGTACAGGTACATCAAATCATCACCCTCTACACGCTCTAAATGTATTACAACTTTATGTGTCAATTTTACCTCCATGATGCTGAAAACAAGAAATGACTATCCAAACTGCTAAAAGAAAAAAAAAAAGAATGAAGGGAAAATTATGACATTCTCACACAAAGGAAAGCCAAAAGTCTTTGTCACTAGCTGACTTACATTTGAGAACAGTTAAATGAAAATCTGTCAGAAAAGAATGATGAAAAAACAAATTGTGGAGCATTAAAAAGGAAGAAAGAATGACAAACGCAGCAGAAATCTGGATGCAGAGAAACTGGACCGCTCCTACATTGCTGGCAGGAAAATAAAATGGTGCCATGTCTCTGGAAAACTGCGGGGGCAGGTTCTTATTATACTAAACATGCAATTACTACACAAGCAAGCATTTGCACTCTCAGGCATTTATCTAAGAGAAATCAAGATTTATGTTTACACAAAAACCTGTCCATAAGCGGTCACAGCAATTTTACTTGTAATACTGAAAGCTGGAACGAAGTCCAGACGTTCTTCAACCAATACACAAACCGTGAACCCCTGCACCATGGAATAGTACAAAGCAACAAAAAAGAAGGAAACGTTGATACACGCAACAAGTCAGATGACTCTCCAGGGAATTATGCTCAGATGGGTGCGGTTTCAGAAAGGCAAGGTGACGCATCCTCATGGTGATGGCAATGTTCTCTATCTTGACCGTGGTTGTGGACACCAAACCTACTCATATGATAAAATCAAACAGAATTAACACATACACAAAAATCAATACAGTGGAATTGGGGGCCTTTCAATAAGACCCATGGGTGGTATCAACGTCAGTACGCTGGCTGTGATGGTCTATCATAATTCTGCAACATGTTATCACTGGCAGAAATGGGTAAAGCATCAATGAGATCTCTCTGCATTATTTCTTACAACTACATGGGTGTCTTAAATTACTACGACATCACAAGTCTAATATTTTCAAAAAGCTATCGCTAGCTGGCACGAAGAATGTTGATACTTCTAGATTAAACAGTGCTACTTGAAATACGTATCATTTCAAACTAACCGAAATCGGGCGGGATGGAGAAAGATGAAGAGGCAGGAGCTGGGTCACTGTCATTTCCCGACGAAGTTTGGTAATACACTGTCTGACAGCTGTTTTCCAGGCTGGTTTCCGCATTTTCTGGCGTTTCTACAAGTACAACTTTTTCAACTGTTGAAAGACAAGAACTCTTAACTGTGAATTCTGTACTGAGTGAGATTATCTTTCAGGAAAGAAAGAGGAAATAAAGACACTCTTGCACAAAGAAAAATCTTTTAAAAAACTGTTCCTAGCAGATTTACTATTAGAAGATAGCTAATGGAAGATCTTCCAACAGAAAGGACAGTATGAAAGAAGGAAGCCTGTGGCATCAGTAAGGAAGAAATAGTACTAGAAAGATCAGAAATATAGATGGGGAGAAAGTGGATCCCCCATACATTGCTACTGGAAATGTAGACTAGTCCAGCCTCTCTGGAAACTGTTTGGCAGTCTTTATAAAACCAAACATGCTATTATCGTTAAGACTCAGCAACTTCACGCTTGGCATTCATGACAGAGAAATGAAAACTTGTATTTACATAAAAATCAGTACATGAATGTTCACAGCAGCTCAACTTTACTTCTTGGATCCACAAACTTGGAAAGAAAAAAAAAAGCAGATGTCCTTCAATGTGTGAATGTTTAAAAAAAAAAAACTGTTGCGTATCTATACCACGGGAAACTCTCCATCAATTGATGAGAAATAAAAACTTATATTTACCCAAAAATGTGTACACGGATATTTATAACTGCTTTGCTCCCTAATGGCCAAACACTGAAAAAAATTCAGATGTCCTTCAGTAAGTGAACAATCAGACAAAAGGTAATATATCCATAGCACTATTTTCAGCAATAAAAGGAATAAACTATTGATACAGACAACAAACTAGATGAGTGTCCAGGCAATTCATCTGAGTGGGGGGAAAAAAGCTAATCCGAAAAGGTCACATCGTGGAAGACTCCACTGCTATAACAATCTGAAGAGACAAAATTACAGCAACGGAGAAAAGATCGGAGATAGCCTGGTGTTGAAGATAGGTCTTGGGGGCAGGGGATGTGGGTAGGGTTGTAAAAAGATGCACTAACGAGGGATCCTTGAGTGATGGATGTGATCTCTACCTTGACTGTGGTAGATGTGCGAACCCACTCATACGATCAAATTACATAGTAATAAATACACACATGCACACACACACACACACACACACACACACACACGGGTGCAAGTAAAACTGGAGGCATCTCGATCACACCTGTGAACCGTATCAATGTCAATGGCTGGGTTGTAACACTCAACTACGGCTCTGCCGGGTGGTATCACTGGGGAAAATACAGAAAGCATAAGCGGGATCTCTCTGTGTTCTTCCTTACAACGGCACCAAATCTTGAATTACATCAAAATTAAAAGTTTCAACAAAAGCTGTAACTGGCTTGTATTAAGGATGTCGATGAACCTAGATGAAACAGCGCTACACGTGATATGTATCATTTTGAACTCACCAAAATTGGGCGGGAGTGAGGCAGATGAAGAGTCAGTCCCTGGGCCATTGATACTTCCCAGTAAAGCTGGGTAATAGATTGTCTTAGAGCTGTTTTCCTGGCTGGTTTCTGATTTTTCCGGCACTTCTATGAGTATGAATTTTTCAACCGCTGAAAGACAAGAACTGTCAACTGTGAATTCTCCATGAGGCAAAACTACCCTTCGGGACAAAAGAGAATTCTGCAACAAAGGAAATCTAAAATCTGTCCCCAGCAAACTTACCTGTATACAAAGAGGAAAGGAAACTCTTCCAACAGAAAGGACATGATGAAAGAAGGGAATGTGGAACATCAGGAAGAAAGAAAGCACAATGAAAGAAAGAACAGAAATGTGGCTGCAGAGAGACACAATCACTCATCCATTGCTGGTGGGAATGAAAACTGGTAGTGTCTCTGGAAAGCTGTTTGACGGCTGCTTTATAGAACGAAACAAGCTATTACCAGAAGATCCAACAACTGCATTCTTGGCATTCGTGACAGAAACAAAAACATTATTTACACAAAAACCGGGACGTGGATGTTCACGGCAGCTTTACTCCCAATACCAAAAACCAGGGGGGACAAAGCAACAACAACTCATGTCCTGAGGTGGCTGAACGGCTGCAAACGACTCTTGCACACTGCTGCTACAGAAAAGGGAGAAGGCGCTGCTCCATCCAACAATCTGGATAAATCTTCAGGGAATTATGCTGACTGAAAAACACGGAACAATCTTCAAAGGTTACATACCATAAGATTCCCTTTATAGAACACTCTTGAGTGACAAAATTATACAGAGCGGTGTTTGCCAGGGGCTTGGGGAATGGACGATGGGGAAGGAAAGGGCAGCCCGATAGAGGGGGGTATGGTTCTAAAAGTGCAAGACGAGGGGGCGCCTGGGTGGCTCAGTGGGTTAAAGTCTCTGCCTTCGGCTCAGGTTATGATCCCAGGGTCCTGGGATTGAGCCCCACTCCCGGCTCTCTGCTCGGCAGGGAGCCTGCTTCCCTTCCTCTCTCTCTGCCTGCCTCTCTGCCTACTTGTGATCTCTGTCTGTCAAATAAATAAATAAATAATCTTTTTAAAAAAATAAAATAAAATAAAAGTGCAAGACGAGGGACGCCTGGGAGGCTCAGTTAATTAAGCCTCTGGCTCTTGGTTCCAGCTCCGGTCATGGTCTCAGGGTCATGGTCTCAGGGTTGTGGGATCGAGTCAGACTGTGTCAGACTTCTCCACACTTGGTGAGGAGGCTGCTTGAGATTCTTTCTCTCCCTCTACCCCTGCCCCTGGCTCGTGCGCTCACACACACACACACACACACACACTCTCTCTCTCTCTCAAATAATAAATAAATAAATAAAATCATTTTAAAAAGGAGCAAGATGAGGCATTTCAATGGCAATGGAAATGTTCTGTATCCTGACTGGGGTGGTGGACATCAAAGCTACTCACATGATAAAATGAGATTGAAATAAATACAAATGCACACAAATCACCACAAGTACAGCTGGGCACATCTCAGTAATATCTGTATATTGCATCCACGTCAATACCCTTATTGGGATATTTTACTACAGTTTTGCAAGATGTTATCAGTGGGAAAAATGGGCAAAGCATAAAATGGATGTCTGGATCTTATTTCTTATAAATATATGTGAACCTAAAATTGTTTTAAAATAGCTTAATTTGGGCGCCTGGGTGGCTCAGTGGGTTAAGCCGCTGCCTTCGGCTCAGGTCATGATCTCAGGGTCCTGGGATTGAGTCCCGCATCGGGCTCTCTGCTCAGCAGGGAGCCTGCTTCCCTCTCTCTCTCTCTCTGCCTGCCTCTCTGCCTACTTGTGATCTCTATCTGTCAAATAAATAAATAAAATCTTTAAAAAATAATAAAATAAAATAAAATAGCTTAATTTTTTAAAATAAGAACTACCACTAGCTTCCATTAAGGATGCTGATACATCTAGATTAAACACAGCGCTACTTATAATACGCATTATTTGAAACTCACCAAAGTTGGGTGGGAGGCAGACAGATGAACAATGGTCACTGTTATTTCCTGATAGAGTTTGGTAATTTGTCATCTCAGGGTTGTTTTCCAAGCTGGTCTCTGTTATTACTGGCATTTGTACAGAAAGAACATTTTTCAAGTGCTTAAGAAAAGATCTCCCAACCGTTAATTCTCTATGTAGCAAAACTATCCTTCATTACTGTATAGGAAATAAAGACATTGTCACATGAAGAAAACCTGAAAGAACTTGTCCCTTGCAGACTTACCCTTAAATAAAGGCCAAAGGAAAATATTTAAACAGAAAAGGTATGATGAAAGAATGGATCTTTAAGTATCAAGGAGAAAGAACAATGGAAAGAGAAGATAAAGGCATAAAGAGAAATTGTGTCATTTATATATTATATGTGGAAGGTCAAATGACACAGCTCCTCTAAGAAAATGTTTAGCAGTTTCTTGTAAAACTACACATGAAATTATCATATGACCCAGAATTGCCCTCGTGGGCATTCACCACAAAAAAAATATAAAATTGGGGTGCCTGGGTGGCTCAGTGGGTTGGGCCTCTGCCTTCAGCTCAGGTCGTGATCTCAGGGTCCTGGGAACGAGCCCCACATCAGGCTCTCTGCACAGTGGGGAGCCTGCTTCCTCCTCTCTGCGCCTGTCTCTCTGCCTACTTGTGCTCTCTCTCTGTCGAATAAATTTTTAAAAAATCTTTAAAAAATATATATAAATTTAAGTGTCCACAAAAGCCAGTACATAACTGTTTACAGAGTTAAACTTCTGATGGCCAAAAGTTAGAAATCTCCTGGATATCCTTCCATGGGTGAAGAAACAAACATCCTTACCATGGGAGAACATTTGACCATAAAAAGAAAAATTATGTTTAGGGGGAAAAAAAGTCATGCCCAAAGGCTATATTGTATTTTAATCCCATTTAAATAACAATATTCAAGTGACAAAATTCTAGAAAGGGAGATCAGTTCACTCTTTGCTAGGATATGAAGAAAAGGTGGCCAGAGGAAGGTCGTTGAGGTCATAAAGGGCAACAGGCAGTGACAATGAAAGCATTCTGGGTCACAACTATGATGATAAATAAAATTCATGGAATAAAATTGCACGGAACTGAAAACACACACACACACACACACACACACACACACACACACACACACACAAATGTGGACTGAATCAATGCCACTACCTAGTTGTGCTATTTTACTATGGTTTTCCAAGAGGTGATCATTGGGGAAAAATGGGTAAAACATAAATGGGATCCCAGATATAATTTCTGACAGCTACATGCGAATCTACAATTCCCTCAAAATAAAAAGCTTCATTAAAAAAAGAGCTGGTACTGACTTGGCATTAAAGATGTTGGGGAAGCTAGAGGCGTGACTTGTAATATGTATCATTTCAAACTCACCAAAATTAGGAAGGATGAAAACAGATGAGACAGTGTCTTGGCCACTGCCATCTCCCCGGGAACTTGGGTAATATACTGACTCCATACTGTTTCCAAGGCTGGCTTCTGCTTCTCCTGGCATTTCTACAAATAAAAGGTTTTCAGGAGCTGTAATACCAGAACTCGCATCCACAAATTCTACATTGGATGAAACTATCCTTCCAGAAAGAAGGGGAAATAAAAACATTGCACACAAAGGAAAACAAAAAGATTTTTGTCCCTGGCAGGCTTACTCCTACAGAAAGGTTAAAGGAAAATCTTCTGTCAGGAAGGATATGAGGAAAGAGGTCTGAAGAAGGAACAACATAAAGAGAAGAAATAAGGATGCGGAGAAACCGGATCACTCATAAAAAACTAAACATGCAAATAACATATAACCAGGGATTGCACTGCTGGGTATTCGTGTCCGAGATACGAAAACTTCTATTTATTCAAAAACCTGTATGTGAACATCCGTGGCAGTCTTACTGCTAATAATCAAACACTGGGTTTGGTGGGGGCAGGGAAGAAGGAACCAGAAATCCGCTTTGACAGATGAACTGTTAAACTACAGCATACCTATACACGGAACAGGACCGAACAATAAAAAGGAAGGAACTAGTGATACACGCAACAACTTGGTTTAGTCTTCAGGGATCTCCCTGGAGTGGAAAAAAAAAAGCCAATTTCAAAAGGTGACATACTATATGCATCGAATAGGTAACAATTTTGAAGCAACAAAGTTCTAGAGAGAGAGAACAGATACAGGGGGCCAAGAGTCAGGGAGAGGAGAACAGAGACGCGACTCAAGTAAACGTCCTGGTGATGGCAACGTTCTATACCTTGACTGTGGCCGTGGCCGTGCAAAGGTCACGTGATAAAACTGCAGGGAACCAAATGCACAGACACACAGTGAAACAAGTCAGCCCAGGGTGAGTAAGATCTGCGCGTTATAGCACATCAGTATCCAGCTCAGGATGTTTCGCTGGAGTTTTTACAAGATGCCACCTTTGGGGGAAATTGGCTAGGGGGCATCACTCAATTATTTCTTAAAACTACATGTGAATCTACACTTATCCCATAAAACTTTTAACACAAAAAGTAGCTATAGCCAACCACGCTTCAATTTAAAAACCAGCTATTGCTAGTTTCCATTAAGAATGTCTTTAGGGACGCCTGGGTGGCTCAGTCATTAAGCGTCTACCTTCAGCTCAGGTCATGATCCCAGGGTCCTGGGATCCAGCTGTGTGTGGGGCTCCCAGGTCAGCAGGGAGCCTGCTTTTCCTCTCCCTCTCCCCCAGCTTGTGTTCCGTCTCTCGCTGTGTCTCTCTCTTCCAAATAAATAAATAAAATTTTTAAAAAATAAATTTTAAAAAGAATGCCTTTTAATGCAAATGAAAGGATGCTACTTATAATATAGGCCAGGTCAAACTCACCGAAATTGGAGGGGATGCAGAAAGCCAACGAAGCCGGGTCAGGGCCCACGGGGATAGGTCCCTGTCCAGTTGAGCAGGTGGCCACCTCGGGGGATAGTGCCATGAGGGGTTCTCCCGGGGACAGGAGTGCTGCAGGCAGAGCTGGATGCTGGGCAGAGGAGAGATCCCCGGTGACCTCTTCATCTCCTTCACTGAAAACATAGGACAGGACAGCAAGTCCAGGAGCTGGGCTGCCTGGTGTGACACTGGGCTGCAATGAATACGTGGAGACAATTTTGGGAAAGGGCGGACTCTCCCTGACGACCGGCTCGGGCAGCACGGCTGGCTGAAGAGAGATCTCTGCAGGGTTGGGCAGGACATGGTTCTCCTTCCTTCCCACTGGTCCAGGTGGGCTGTCGTCTTCCTGTCCAGGGTAAGAGAACACAAAGGGTTATGCTCTCATCTTTGGTTCCTGGACTTGAACTTCTCCATGAGGTAGACAATTAAACCTTTTTTGTGTAAATCCAGATGACCTCTAAAATAACACAAACCCATTACAAATCATCTAAAAAAGTTGATACAGGCATGAACGGCTCCTTTCTTTGCAACATCATTTTCCACAGTTAATGACAAAGCCCGAATTTTTATTATATGATTTTTATTCCTCTCCAAACCTACATTTTGACTGCATATTCTACATTACGGTTATAAACATAAAAATCTTCAGTGTCATGATTTCTCAAATCTGAACTTCAGCATTCATCCAAAAGATGTTGAGTGTCCCATCTGTTGCTAAAGTAAGTATACATCAGCCCTGCTAATCTCAGAGTCATAGTTCTCTCTTGCTTCTAAGAGACTGGTCTCTTTAAGAACTACAGGTTTATCAAAGTAGCATCAATGTATTTATAATACTTACACAGTCTGGCAACAGTGGTTTCTCCCAAGGCTGTTGCATTTTTGAAATGATTCCACAAAGGTTGTTTACCTGCCTATTGGTGCTTTCAATAAGTTCATGCAAGTCCTATTACAATAAAACAAGTATTTTAGCAGTTCCTATTTCAAAAGAAAAGTAACATATGAGAAAATACCATTAAGCCACATTTTAATTGCTACAAACAAAAAAAGCTCTCAAGTCCTCAAAAATGTCTTGTTAATGCCACAGGATGCCTGGTTTTGGTGACATAGAGCAGAGCTGATGGAGATAAGGAGCCCAACCTCCTACTCAACAACTCCAGGCCATGCGGGCATTTTAAAAAGCTTTAATACTGGAAAGCAAATGTACCACCATTCTTATAAGCCACCATATTTATGATGGAGTCGTTTTATATCAAGGAAGGGGCTATTTTAGGAAAGAAAGCTTCAAATCTGCTAAAAAGGCCAAAGAGCCTCTTTCCATATAACCATGCCGAGAATTCAGAGGCAGTGAGCATTCTGTGCTGGAAAGAACAGTGAGCCAAATATAACAGACGTGACTTTTGGCTTCAAAGTATTTCAAAGATAAGGTAATCAACAATTAACCTTATAAAACCTTCCAGTAGATGTTCCCTATTGGCCAACCAGGTTTGTGACTAAAAAAACCTGAGAATTTTTCAAATACACAGAAATTTTATTCAGGCCAAAAATACACTTAAACAGGAGGCCAGGACCATTTCCTTATTCATTCACTCAAACACTTACTGAGGGCCTACTTACTACCTCTTGGAACTGCTTTGCTAGGCGCTGGGACTGTGGACAGAAAGGAAAACAGGAAAACGAGAGCCTGCCCTAAGGAACGGCCAGGTGAGTTGGGGAGAGAGGATTTCAGTAAAGTGATGGGCAGCCTAAAGCAGTGGTTTTCAAAGTGTGGTCTTGGACCAGTAGCATCAATGTCTCCTACTGGCTTGTCGGAAATGCCCCATCACTCACACCACACTTGCTAAATCGGGAACTCTGAGAGCACGGGTAGCGATCTGCTTTCACGAGCCCTCCAGGTGGTTCTGGTGCATGATGAAGTGACCCACTGACCGACAGCACTGAGGTGAACGTGCAGGCTTTAGGGGAACACACCTGGACGCAAAGACTAGCGTTCTGCCGCTTATCAGCTGTGTGACCTTGGGCGAGTCACTTAACTTCTCTGTGCCTTAATTTCCTCATGTACAGAATCCAGATGAGAATCTCAGAGTTCTCTCAAGGACAAAGCGAGGCGCTGTGGTGTGATGTTAGTACTCCCATCCTAACAATACTACATGACAACCCGCCCAGTAGTGCTCAACCATCCATCAATAGTCATATTATTGTTGGGACTCTGATGGCTACGACACACGTAAGAATGGGCGGCCACGTGTGCACAGAACAGGAGGACCTGACCCAGGCTGGCAGTCGTGGCAGTGTTGTCAGAGGAGATGTCCCCGTTGAGGACTAAAAGACAAGACGGTGTTCACCAGGTAAAGATGCATGAAGGGCAGAGAGGGCAGAAGGAACAGTAGATTCAAAATACCCAGAGAGAACACAGAAGTCAGATGTGTAGACAGTGAAGATAAATGACGTTCAAAGAGCTGGGTGTTTTAAGGGAAGGAGAGAGAAGGCATGACAGAAAGAGGGATGGGAGGCCCCAAGCGGAGGTGAAGCTGTGGGAGGGGATGCGGAGAGTGACGGAGACGGAAGCCCAAGGGCCAGGACGTGGCCACTGATGAAGGGAAGCGTCCCGGCACAGGGAAAGAGGCTCAGAGGCAGAAAACAGCACCGCCTTAGCCTTATAGAGGGAGATGCCCGAAGGACAGATCCCAGCCTAGTGGCTGGCTGTGGGGAGAGGAATTGCGACTCAGAGGGATTTGGGCCTCACGCTCCAACCCACCTTGGCCTCCCTGAAATAAGAAGCCAGGGCCGGGCCCTCCGGAGCTTGTGGGGGACGGAGAGGGAGCTGACCAGAGTGCTGGCGAAGGGCCACGGGACAGTGGAGGGATCCTGGCAGCCGCCCCCTCTGCTTCCCAGCCTGCACAGGGCTGGAATCTTCCTAAAGAGGACACTGGGCAAGGACAGAAGAAGAAAAGATGGAAGTGTGCAGCGACTGGTCTAGACCGGTAAGGGAAGGGGTTGAAGAAAGGAGAGAGCTCGCACACTGGGAGAAACGGGGAGGATCCCCGATGGTCCGTTTCGGGGCTGTGACGGGACACTGGGCACTTATCCTCCTCCACGTTCTGGCTCACCACATCTTGCACCGTCGCTCAGAAAGAAGGCCCTGGCAGAGCAGTGGCAGCCCGGGGGGCCGTGGGTGCTTACATGAGGCAGGCCGGGAATGGCCCCGCTGGAAATCAGAAACCCCCCTTTCACCGCCCACCCTCCGTACCTCCTTCCCCAAAGACCTGCTACGTTCCTTTGAAGCAGTCCACTTCTGTTCTCAGTAACAGTGATAAAGACTCACTAAACACGCTTTACTTAGGCAGGGTAGCTCATCTTAATCCAACAAACTTTGCATGTTAACAACTACTTTTGAAAAAATAAACTTCCATTACCTCTAGAGGATGCAGCTCACAAAATCCTTGATAATTACCCCCATCAATCTCTACCAGCACGCTAACTTTCACAAAATCCTCTCAAAACTACGTAAGATATACTCTTTAAAAAACAATGGTACGCTGCCATTTTCTTTCAAGAGAAATCTTGATAAGCATTTAGACACAGACTAAATTTCACTGAACTAAGCTAATTTCCTTAAGAGAGAATATTGGAGAAATTAAATACTGAACAATTTAGATGAAAGAGGTTTAACTACATTTAATCAGCTATGGGCTGTTGGGTTTTGTTTAAGCTACAAAAGCCATATTTTTATTTCAAATTTTTCACCTAGAGATACTCTGCTAACTAGAAAATCTTCTTGAAATGCGTCACAATAGAGTGATAATCATACAGAATTTGACATGACAAACTTTCTACTAATAGCACAATGACGTTAAATGAGGTAAAAAAAAGAACTTCACTCAAAATTTTGAAAAATTACATTTAACAGATAGAAATTTGATACCTTGCAATGGTGTTGGAGTTCTGTAAGTCGGTTTTGATGATTTTCATCACGGAAACCTTCAAATGCATTGCTTGCCTATTAATATTATAAAAATAAGAAGTTAATGCTTGATATCAGTAGGACCCAAACTAAGCACTAGAAAAATCAGTACTTTATATATTTATGTCTTAATTATTTTCTTTTTCATCTGCATTCTAAAAGCATTTCAAAAGTCTTATAAAACAGAGATAAAGTAAAACCAAAATCCATATTCACATGAGAATGAAACAGATAAGAGCTGATTAAAAAGGGGATGAGGGGCGCCTGGGTGGCTCAGTAGGTTAAAGCCTCTGCCTTCGGCTCAGGTCTTGATCCCGGGGTCCTGGGATTCGAGCCCACATCGGGCTCTCTGCTCAGCAGGAAGCCTGCTTCCCTTCCTCTCTCTCTGTCTGCCTCTCTGCCTCCTTGTGATCTCTGTCTGTCAAATAAATAAATAAAAATCTTTTTTTAAAAAAGGGGGGGATGAGGAAAGAAGTTATCATATAAGAACTTAGGTTTAAGAAAAGCTACTGAATATCAGCATGAACACATAGTTTATAATATATATAAAGACAGATATAGAAATAAAGATGTATGTGTATGCTTGGAATAGTATACATATATTTCCTAGCTCTGTCCACTGGGAAGGCTTAAGGTCAATGACACAAGACAAATAGTGAAAATATCTGGTGTCCAGATTATGGTTTCTAAATACCATTCTCCAATAAAGGAACCAGGGCTCCTTGGAGAGAGGTGAATTCCAGGGCTGGGTCCGGAAAAGTATGAATGAGCCTAGAACATCTTGTGATGTCAGAAAATCAGGAAGTGCTCAAAAAAAAGTTGGGCCATGTGAAAAGGCCACAGGATCCAACTGGAAGGAGCTTCCAATAACCAAAGTTAGAAAATTTGATCAATAAAATAATGATAACATGGGATTATAAAAACTCATATAATATACAGTGAACGCTCATGCATCCATATAAATATAAAATACATAATTGAATAAATAAATGGAATAGAAAGGACAGCTCTTCCTGACATATGAATTCCTTTTAATACATACATGGGAATGAGGCAAAGAGAGAGTCACCATTTGGCAAACACCATACTAGTGATTATTGCAGGTAAAATCCACAAGCTAACTCAACTCAGTGGGTAAAAAGGGGAGGAGAAAAAGGATATCAGCAGAGTCCCCCAAAGTACTTCCCACCTAAGATATTTCCCCACAAGGGGAAAAGCAGTAACTTTACAGTGGAAAAATCCAGAAGATACCACGTTAACCAAGAGATCGATGATAACATCATCAGTAAAAAGATACACAGACACCATGTGTCCCTGATAACGATTCAATAAGGAGGCATTTGTGTGGTGTTCTTGCCAAAAATGGATAATCTCGATCTATTCAAGAGAAAAATATCGGACATACCAAAATTGAGTGACATTTTACAAATGTACAATGTACATTTGTAAGTGTACACTCATCACAAATGTCAAGATCATGAAAGACAAGGAAAGAATGAGGGATCGTCAGAGACTAGAAAAAACTGAAGAGAGAAAACTAAACTCAATCTGGGATACTAGATTGGATCCTGGAACAGAAAAAGGACAAGGGGGAGAAGAATGGTGAAACTCAAACAAGGACTGCAGTTGAGCTAATAGTACTGTAGCAACGTTAATATCATGGTTGTGAAAATAGTACTGTGCTTACATAATTACCATAATTTTAAGTTATACAGGTAAGTTAACATTAAGAGAAGTATATACACGAGAACCCTCTGTAATATATTTGCCCCTGTTCTGTAAATCTAAAATTATTTCAAAAATGAGAAAGCTACTCAGAGTACAAAACTGCTGTGAATTCCCTATTAGTTAAGGAAAAGAAGGAAATCAAATGGTTAAGTGTTCATTTGTCTTGTTATTGCTATGGAAGCATCTAGTCATGAGAGAGAAATATTTCCTTCAGCTCTCAAGTTCAGAGTAACTCCACAGTATGTGAAGGTTGAAAAAGAACTTAAATCATTTTCTTTATGATAGTAAGTGTGAATATATTTGGCAATTAGCAATTAATATTATGTAAATATTCAGTCTGATATGCATTCATTAATGACACTTCCAACTTCTTCCCAAACGGGTATTTGTGTTCTTGTCCAGGGACGATTTATTAATAAACCAAAAGAAAAAGAAAGAACTGAAGAAACATTCAGGACTTCAGTTCTGCTGTCAACAAGCACCAAAGGCATGAAGGTCCTCTGCCCACTGCAAATACTACAGCAACACACAAAGATATACAGCTGTCCCTTGAACAACATGGGGGTAAACTGTGCGAGTCCACTTATAGATGGATTTTTTTTCAAAGAATATAGTGCAATACTATACATGTATTTTCTCTTCCTTGTGATTTTCTTACTAGCATTCTGTTCTCTAGCTGGCTTTTTTGTTCGAATACAGTATATGATACATATAACATGCAAAATACGTGTTGACTATCGGTAAGACTTCTGGTCTACAGTAGGGCTATTCGTAGTTAGGTTTTGGGGAGTCCAAGTTACACGTGGATTTTCGACTGTGCAGGGGTCAGCACCCCTAACGCCCACATTGCTCAAGGGTCAAGTGTACTTGCTGAACTGTTTTCTCATTCACCCAACTACACTTAAGACACCATTTTTACCAAGCTTAACCCTTCACACACTTCAGGGTAAAAAGACTAGCTTCTAGTAATCTGGCACCAGAACTGCTTTAAAAGCAAATATTTCCAACCGGAAACAAAGAACCAAAGGTTTTATGGCTTTTGATTTTCAAATAATCCAACAGTGACACTCTGTGGACAAACTAAGAAGCACTAAGGCCCCTACTTTTCTCAATAAATTAATCTCTAAGATGCCTTAAATTGTTTTTTGGAATAAAAGAGGGTATAAGTAAGTAGACAGACAGCAAATAACCATTATATTTAATTATAACAACTCTAAGGATGAATTATGGACTATAATAATAATTTTAATATAAACATACCAAGTAATTATTAATGTTTTTGTTTTAAAATTTTATCAATCAGCCCTGCATTGCCAACTTATTAGACAACAAAAATTATATGGAGTTACAATATAGACTAGTCATTATAGAAACAATATTGCCATCGTACCCTTGTGTAATGCTTTATACTTTTCAAAGTGCTTTCGCATAACTATGTCAGAAATCATGACTCTCAATAGGCATTTAACATTATCCCCAAAGATGAACATAGTGGGGCTGTTAGAAGTTAAGAGAATTACCTGTACTACTTAGGTATTTACGAGTGTCCTCATCCTTATATAAGTAAGTAAATGCATTTTCTGGTAAGCTAGATTATATATAGTCTAATAATCTATTTCATTCTACTTCAGAGATCAAGAAGCAGGGCAGAGTAGGATGGAAATGTCAAACGGTACAACTACATCAGGAAACTGGCAGTTTCTTCTAAACTTTATCTATCCTGTGACCCAGTGTTTGTACTCCTGAGTCTTTACTCAAATTAAATGTAAACATACATTCACAAAAACACTTCCATAATCATCTTCAGAGCCACTTTACTCATAATACCCCAAACTGGAAACAACCCAAGCATCCATCAAAAGGAGAAGGGAGGGGCGCCTGGGTGGCTCAGTAGCTTAAAGTCTCTGCCTTCGGCTCAGGTCATGATCCCAGGGTCCTGGGATCGAGCCCCACATCAGGCTCTCTGCTCCGCGGGGAGCCTGCTTCCTCCTCTTTCTCTGCCTGCCTCTCTGCCTACTTCTGATCTCTGTCTGACAAATAAATAAATAAAATCTTTAAAAAAAAAAAGGAAAATGGATAAACAAATTATGACATTCATGCAACAGAATATTACTCAGCAATGAATGGGAATGAAATGTCACTAAAACCAGATGAATCTCTGAAACATTATTCTAAGAAAAAGAGACTATGCCACAGGAGTACATACTGTATGATTCTGTTTATATAAAGTTCTAGAACAGGCAAAACTAATCTAAAATGGGAAAAATATTAGAATGTTGTTTCTCCAAGGTTTGGGAGATATTCTGGGAAGAGAGAGGCATGAGGGAACTTTCTGGGATGGTGGAAGTGTTCTCTGTCTTGATGGTGGGGAGAGGTATACACATTTGTCAAAACCACTGAACCATTCACTGTATGAAATTAAACTCAATTTTTAAAAAAAAGAAGTAAAGCAGAATGAAAAAACAAAGATAGATATTCAATTTAATATACAAACCATATTACCCACCCTTAAAAAAGATGAACATCCTCTTTTGAGCTGTGGGGGGAGAAGATCCATTTCCACTGAGTTCGAGCTGTATCTTTTTAAATTTGCTAGATGGTTCATTTGTGGAACTGCTTGGTCACGTAGGGCTGGTAAACCACCTACTCCTGAAAAGCAACACATTAAAAAAGTTATTTCACAGACTTACTACCGTCATCAACTTAATAGGGATATGTTCTCCAAATGCCACCTCAAACTGAACCGGAGTCCTGGCTGAATTTTAGAGAGTGACAAAACAATAACTCTCTCAGTAGTGATGTAAAATAAACCCTTAAAAATCGAAGGGCTAGGTTGCCACTCCTAGGAATAAGAATCAAGATCACACACAAATTCTGAATTATGAAATGAACGCTTCACAACCGAAAGGCTACAGAGTAAATGCTGGAAACAAATAACAAGAGAACCTAACTGCTTTTTGAAAGGAGCCCCCCAAAGCCTTTTTACTTAGGGGAGCAGCAGGCCTCCAAATGTGAGTCAGGAGTCTATTCTGGCATGGGCCACTCCCTCCACAGTGTAGACTGAGCAGACCACAAATGGCCTCCTCATCTGCTGGGTGAGAACTGGTCGACATTAGCTCTAAGTCACTAGAACTCTAAGATTATGATTGTTTTCCCTAGTTACACTTCATATTAAACCTATATAAACGTACGTGAAATATAAGCCCCCGAATATTCTAGAATGCTGTAGGCTCAGTGATGGTTCTGAGCTCCATAAGGAGGAAAAGATACAGAATGCAGTGTTCCTATATTCTGTCTTGTAGTAGGAGAGCCTTGGCGGCTGGCATCACTGTCCTGGGAGGGGGACCTACATGACAGACCTAGTTGCCATTAGCCGTCCTGAGCCAGGGAAGCAATCAGAAGCAGAGTGAAAGAGAATTAACTCTCAAGTTAGATAAAGGCAAGCCAACAGGGTGGGGAAAATTCAATGATAAACTAACTCCAATTTGAGGCGTAACTTCAATTTTTATTTTTTAAACTGGTTGTTTTATTCGGATTATAAGACTGAGAATGAATAATTGAACCGGGGTGTTTTCATACAAAGAAAGCCTACATAGCGATGAGGACGTGCCAACGATTGGTGCACACAGGGAAGAAGTTCACAGCCCCAACACGGAACAGAAGACAGACGCCAAAGTATATAGTTGTGAGTTCTATTAAGGGATATATATTTTGGGGGCCTGGGTGGCTCAGTGGGGTGTCTGCCTTCCGTTCAGGTCAGGATCCCAGGGTCCTGGGATGGAGTCCTGAAGTGGGCTCCCTGCTGAACGGGGAGCCTGCTTCTCGCTCTGCCTCTGCCCCACCCCCTGCTCATGCAGGCGAGTGCTCCCTCTCTCTCAAATAAATAAAATCTTTAAAAAATATATACATGGGGCGCCTGGGTGGCTCAGTGGGTTAAAGCCTCTGCCTTCGGCTCAGGTCATGATCTCTGGGTCCTGGAATTGAGCCCCACATCGGGCTCTCTGCTCAGCGGGGAGCCTGCTTCCTCCTCTCTCTCTGCCTGCTTCTCTGCCTACTTGTGATCTCTGTCAAATAAATAAATATTTAAAAATATATATATATACGTATTTGGTCTTCATGTGTTTCTGGCAGATCCCCTAAAACCCTTGGAATTTAAGTGAGGAGAGTGATAAAGGTGTCTTTTGTTATGTTAATGGAGTGTAAAGCCTCTAGATTACCTAAGGCTGAGGGCTGGGCCCAGGGAGGAGGAAGCTGGGATGAGAGGGTTGGACCTTTCAGTCCTACCCACTGACCTTCAGGAAGGGGAGAGGGCTAGAGGTTGTTAGTTGCCAGTGGCTAATGGCTTAATCGATCGTGCCTATGCAATGAAGCCTCTGTAAAGACTCAAAGCGCTGGGTCCGGAGAGCTTCCGGGTTGGTGAGCACATGGAGATCTGGAAAGAATGGGCCCGGAGAGGGCGTGGAAGCCCCCTCAACCTTTCCCCCATGCCTCGTTCTTTGTATCGCTTCTGGCCGGCTGTTCCAAGGTTGTATAAACCAGCAATCTGGTAAGTAAAATGTTTCTCTGAGTTCTGTGGGCTGCTCTAGGAAATTAACCAAACCTGAGGAGGGGGTCACAGGAACCTGTTCAAGCCACTGAGTCAGAAGACTGGGTAATCCCCCAGGCTTGCAACTGGTGCCTGTAGGGGAAGGGGGGTGCGGTCTTGTGGGACTGAGCCCCGCACATGTGGAACCTGACGCTGTCCCTGGGTGGATAGTGTCAGAATTGAGCTGAATACTCAGACACCCCGCTTGGGTCCTGTAATTGCCTGGTGTTAGGTGAGAAGCCCTCACCACCAGGACCAACAGAGTCTGGAACTAGGTCCAGGAATGTAAATGAATTGTATATGATTCAGTTGTTCTGAAGCTCAAAAATAGGCAAAAGTCATCAGTGGTGGGAAACGTCAGGATAGTGCTGCTTCACAAGAGGGCCCGAGACTGGAAGGGAGGTGAGAGCTGATTCGCCAGGGCTCAGCACCTTCTATTTCTTGGTGCTGGTGCTGCTTATACTTGTGTGTTAACCTGCAAAGTCTTTAAGCTGAGTATTTGTGATTTGTGCATATTTTCATGTGTGATAGATTTCTATAAAAAATCTACCTAAAGGGGCACCTGGATGGCTCAGTGGGTTAAGCATCTGCCTTTGGCTCAGGTCATGATCCCAGAGTTCTGGGATCAAGCCCGGAGTGGAGCTTCCTGCTCAGCAGGGAGCCTGATTCTGCAGCTCCCTCTGCCTGCCACTCCCCCTGCTTGTGCTCCATCTCCCTGATATTGGGAAGGTTTCTATTTTACCAAATTCATTAATGTTTTTATGATTTCTTGAACTGCTGTTACACTCAGTCTTCACTAGGAATAGAAGAACATTCAACTAGATTTTCTCCTAGTTTTCTATACTTCCATTCATTAGATATTCAACTTTAATCCATCTTGAAATTATTTTAAGTGTGTGATATGAGGTGAAATCCAATGGGCTTTTTCCTCCAATAGTTAGCATCTGTACCAGTATGATTTACTATCTATGTTTCTCTTACTAAAATACTACGGTGCATTAACTCCAAATTCTTTGTTTTTATGAGCTTTCTGCTGCATTAAATCTGGCTCCTTATTTCAAAACTAATACCATCATATTTTAATAATTGTAACTTTTAAAATGTTTTAGTGTTTCATATGATAAAATACCACCTGTCCCTTAAACATATTTTTCCAAGATGTTTTTTTTTAAGTTATATAAGAGTGTTTTTTCTCCTCTAGGAACAATTTGTTTCTCTCCACTTAATCAAGTCTTATTTTATGACCTTCATTAAAGTATTTGCTCCCCTTTCATACAGATTCTGCTATTTTTATTCATTTATTCCTTAGGATTTTTAATATTTAGTTGTAGCCATTATCAACTGGGTTTTCTTCCATTTTATGGAAAATACATATATATTCTTTTTATATACATAAAATTATTTATTACTAATATTTGTTATTGTTTATTAATAATTATTATTTATATTTATATGTGAAATATAATTGTGTATATAATATATATTTAATAATAAAAATACACAATATATAAATAAATAAATATATATATATATTCTTTTTTTTTTTTTTTTAAAGTAGGCTCTATGCCCAACATGGGGCTTGAACTCATGACCAGCCCCAAGACCAAGAGTCCCATGCCCTAACTACTGAGCCAGCCAGGTGCCTCAATCCTATATATATTCTAATTGCTTAATGTTGTTATATAAGAAAACAATTTAGGGATTTTTGTTTTTGTTTTTGTTTTTAGATTTTATTTATTTGTTTATTTATTTGACAGTGAGAGAGGACAAGCAGGGCGTGCAACAGGGAGAGGGAGAAGCAGGCTCCCTGCTCAGCAGGGAGCCCAATATGGGGCTCGATCCCAGAACCCCAGGATCATGACCTTAGCCAAAGGCAAACACTTAACCAACTGAGCTACCCACGCACCCCAACAATTTGTTTTTATAAATTTAAAAAAATATCTATAATGACTCAAGAAAAAAATAGAAAATCTCAACAGACCCATAACAGGTAAAGAGATTGAATCAGTCATCATAAACTTCCCAACAAAGAAAAGGCCTGGACCCTCTAGAGGGCTTCACTGGTGGATCTACCAAACATTAAAAAAATTAACACCAATCCTTCTCAACCTCCTCCAAAAAACTAAAGAGAGAACACTTCCTAATTCATTCTATGAGGCCAGAATTACCCCAATACCCAAATACCCAATAGTCAAAGCTAGAAAAAGGCACTACAAGAAAGGAGAATTATAGACCAATATCCTTTATGAATACAGATGCAAAAATCCTCAACAAAATAATAGCAAATGTAATCCAGTAGCAAATTAAAAGGATTATTCACTATGCCTAGAGGGATTTATCCCAGGAATGCAAGGGTGGTTCAACAAAAGAAAAACCAATCAACGTAACACATCACATTAAAAGAACAAAGGGAAGAAGCATGACGTTATGTATATTTTACCACAGTAAAAAATTACCTGGCCAACTTTTCTGAAATCCCTTATCCTAAATTTTTGCATTGGTTGGAAAGATTAAAGGGATCAGACGATAAGGACTGCACTGCAACTTCCTTTTCTTTACTAAACATGTATTGGTCTTTCCAAACTAATACTTTTAGGTATACTGCAACCCCTTTAACAGCTTCTTACTTTTCTTTTTTTTTTTTTAAGATTTTACTTATCTATTTGACAGACAGAGATCACAAGTAGGCAGAGAGGCAGGCAGAGAGTGAGGGAGAAGCAGGCTCCCCACCGAGCAGAGAGTCCGATGCGGGGCTCGATTCCAGGACCCTGGAATCATGACCCGAGCCAAAGGCAGAGGCAGAGGCTTTAACCCACTGAGCCACCCAGGTGCCCCGCTTCTTACTTTTCTATCATGCAGATAGGCCATGATTCATTGAACTAGTCCCTAATTCACGGATATTCAAGTTACTTCTCAAGCTTTGCTCATGTGAAGAACACTGCTGAACAGTCTTACCCGTCTGCAGATAGTTCTGTGGAATAAAGTCCTAGATGTAGAAATGATAAGTCAAAGGGTATCCACATTTGAAAAGTCTTCTAGTTCTCTCCCACTAAAGAGGGCTGCTGGAATCAGCGAGACATTCTGTAACACACTAGAAAGTATTCTGCTGGTTCTGCAAATAGTTTTAAAACCAGAACAGAGGACAAGTGCTATCAAAACTTTTTGACGTCAGTTCAATCAGGGGTTGGCAAACTACAGCCTACAGGCCAGATCCACCTTGCTGCCTATTTTTTATGTAGCCCACAACCTAAGAATGCTTCTATTTTTTGTTTTTTGTTTTTTTTACATTTTGAAATGATTAAAAAACGGGCACCTGGCTGGCTCAGTCGGTGGAGCATGCAACTCTTGATCTTGGAGCTGTGAGTTCGAGCCCCACACTGGGCGTAGAGTTTACTTAAAAAAAATTAAAATGTAATTGTATTTGAAGTGTATAAAATTTGAGTAACTCCCAAAAATGGAGAGTAAATATAAAATATCAAAAAACTATTTTAATTATTTTAATATCAAAAATTATTTTCAAAAATGATTAGGGAACAAAACCAAAAGAATATTTTATGAAATGGAAAAATGATAGGAAATTCAAACTTCAGTGTTCATAAGTAAAGTTTTACTGAAACACAGTCACACTCATCTGTTTATATATCAGCTGCTTTCTTCAACAGCAGAGTTGAGCAGTTGCAACAGAGCCTTTATGGCTATAAAGCCAAAGATATTTACTGTCTGGCCCTTTACAGAAACAGTTTGCTGATCTCTGATCTAAGCAATAACTTTTTTTTGAAGATTTTAATTATTTATTTGAGAGAGAAAGAGCACACAAGCAGGGAAGAGAGTTAGAGGGAGAGGGGGAAGCAGGCTCCCCACTGAGCAGGGCTCGATCCCAGGACCCCAGGATCATGACCTGAGCCAAAGGGAGATGCTTCACCAACTGAGCCACCCAGGCATCCCTAAGCAGTAACATTTTTAAGGAGTAGGAAACCCAATTTTCTACACAAAGGGCAAAGAACAAATTGTCCTATAGCTAACAAAGAAATGTTCCAAGGCGTTAAGTCTCTGGGCTCTGTGTGTGAGGGAGGAGGTGAATGGCCTCACATTTCTTTCACTGCTGTGACGGAGAAGCAACCACTGAAAGGCCAAGTAGCTACCGCACTTCTGGTTACAAGACTTCACTTTCCATGGACTCTCTTTTGGGGTAGTAATGTAAAGGGTGCTGCATTTTTAATTTCAAGTTCCAGCTGTTTACTGCTGATATATAGGAAAGGGATTGGCTTTTGCATATTAACCTTGTATCACACAGTCGTGTTATAATTGCTTATTAGTTCCAGTTTTTACAGATTCTTTAGATCTACATAGATAATCGTGTCATCTGTTCAACGAACTCTTGATCCAAGTTGTTTCTCCCACAAATTCAGTTTTCCTTTGCCACCAGATATTTACAGTCAGAGTTGCCAGCTATAAACAGTTTCTCAAAGACAGATAATATATTCTCCCAATGCTTTCTGAGGCTACGCTTCCACCCCCATAGAGTGAAAATGGAACAGGAGACATGGCAAAGCTTAAATGAACAGAAAAAGCAAGCACACATAAGCACTGTGACATGACCATGAAGCTTGTCCTGATAAGAACTGACAAGTGTAAAAGTTATAAGACTATTTAAGCAATTTACTGGATATCAGGACCAGGGAGCAAAATTTTGTGGAGAAGGAAATAGAACAAAATTACCATATCTCATTTGGGATAGTTGCTGATAGTTATCATTGCTGGCTTGAAAATTTGGTTCTATAGTCAACATGCCATCAGTGGGATGTGTGTTCTCTGTAAGTTCTGTTTCAGAGTCTTCTATTATCACAACACCAATGTCATCATCGCCGTCACTGTCATCCTCAACAGTTATAATAATATAGTCTAGGAATAAGCAAAGAGAAAGTTTAGATACCACATAAAATAATCAGTGTCTAGAAGAAACCACCTTATAAAGTTTTGGAGTGTTTAAAAAACATTTTAACTGAAAAAACATTAAATATTTTCATATCTCTAATCCCTGCAAGTCAGCTAAGAAATAAATTGCTTCGTATGAAGCTTTGAGATCTATATATAAATATATATGTGTGTGTGTACATGTATATATTTATATGCGTGTATATACACACATACATTAGTATTTCTAGTACTTCCAATTTTAGAGCAGTAAATTTCTACCCATTTAAGAAATGTAAATACCTAGCCCATGCTGCTCTGTGTTCGGTGATACGCTTTTAACTTTTAAATGATACAGTTGACGTTACATAGCCACACTCTACTGACCATGAGTTCCCGGACATGTTCTCTAATCCTTAATATTAATCTTTATGATAATAAATGATATAGAAATAAAATACAGTCATAACTATTGTTATGAAACAAATTCAAATTGAATCTCACAAAACATAAAATAAGTAGCCACGAATAAACGAGATGTGAAATATCAACTCCATAAACCGTTCTAATGACCATGAAAAGTAGCACACCACGCACAATGTATGCTACATAAACAGGCTGTTTTCCTTTTTACGGTTGGCCTGAAAAAAAAGAACATGTTTAAGCTCGAAGTATTAACTCGCAGATCACACGCACTGTGCATCACAACTTGGATTCAATACATTTATTTGAAATAGACCAAAACTTTAGAATTAAGTAATTAGCCAGTGTGAGGGAATGTGCTGGTGTGAAAATGATACTGAATTAGGAATCACATGATGTGGGTTCCAATTCAGGCTCTTCAGCCATCCAGAGGTATGACCTTTCGGCCAGATACATTTATTCTTTTGCCTCTGTTTTCTCATCCATAAAAACACAGGACTAGGTTTGGAGATTCGCTGTGAAATCTACTTAATAGTCTTCATGGAAAAAATGGAACATTAGAAACTACCTAATTATTCAAACAAAAGGGAATTACTTAAATAAATTATGGCATACTGCCAATGAGAAACACATTCTCATTTAGTGCTATTAGAAATGCTGGTGAAATAATGTCGAGGCGGGAAGGGTTAAAGCATTAAAAGCAGGGTCAAAGCAGAAAAAATACGATGTAATCCTAACGTTGAGAACAGAAGGAAACATACCAGTTGTTATCTCTTAGTCACTATCTCTGGGTGGCAAAATGACTTTCGTTAGACTTCTCTTGTATTTGTTAAGATTCTCTACAATAAACTTTATAGACCTCATAATCAGAAGAAAATAACAAAGGTAACTGAAGTTTTATTTTTAAGACGAGCTTTTATATGTCAACAGATTTTTCACACTAGACCCAGTAAAGCTACTGACAACTCCACCCAGGTTTCTCAGTAAATTTGTAGAATTCCAATTAATTCCTTTAGGTATATACATAACCTCCATGAGCCATATTTAGAAGACATAACATATAGAAGCTTTTTGAAGATTGTGCTTCTAAGGTGCAAGGATCCAAGTTGCCCTGAACTTAACCAGATAAGGCACAGTTCACAGTGATGCAGACTGCAACCTTCCTTTCACATGAGGACGCTGCAAGAAGTCCCACCCAAAACACAGCAGGTGACAATGGCCAGACTGGTCTGCTTTTCAGGCAAAACTGTGTCAATACATTGAACAGTACTTTCTAAATCTCCTAGCAGAATTCTCAAAAGAAGTCCTTGCACATCCATGTCAAACTTTAGAGAGGACAAAGTTGGCCAGGTGAGAGATTATGCCACCAAAACTGTATCCCAGAGACCAGTCCTTGCAGCAGGCAGGCTTGAAACTAAATCGAGCCCAGCCCTGCTTTAGAAAACACAGTGCAGAAGAGTTGCTTGTAAAATCATTATCTGCAGACATTAAATCAGTTTACCACTTAATGTTCTAAAACCATAAAGCAGTCCCAATTTGGGGAGAAGTGGGTGGAGGTAAAAGGGGGCGATTCTCAACACATTACTTTAGAGCCTTTTCTGTCAAACAGTGGTGCTCAGTCCTACAGCAGGTGGGACGGGCCCTGAAGCATGGTCAGAAGGGCACCCCCATTTTCTAGGGGTCCTCACATTTTGTTGTATCCTCCCACTCCTTTTTAAGTCTCGTCTGCCCTCTCAAAGCAAAGAACTGGCTCTTTACGTGGGGACTTCTATATACCTACATTTTTATTTTCTTTCTGCTTGTTTGTTTTTACGATAAAACAAGGCTGCTCTGTCTTCGAGCAAACACGGTTACCACCAAAGCCTCAAGAAATCAAATCTCAATTTCAAAAGATGTCATAATGAATCAACTGCTGGTCTGTCAATCCTTTAAATTCAAAGTCTTGGTCCTTTAGGACCCCCGCTTCCTCCGACAGGGAAAGAGAAAGGATAAAGGATCAATACATCCCAAGAAGGCAACACCAAGTACTTAACGAGTGGCCATATCTCAAAAGCTTATAAACACAGGAATCTCAGGAGAGGTCGTGGGAAACCCCAAACCACCCCACCGCAGCGCTGCTGAATATGAAACTGTAAAGTGAAGATTTAACCTTCCGCAAATCAAATCGTCTCCTCTCGGGAGCACCCCTGGCCACTAAGCCAAGTCACTTTCATGCCCTAATGGTCATGCTGCACAGCTGTTTATGGTATGGACACATCCCACAAGGCCTTTTGGGGTCGGGGGGAGCTCAAGGAAAAAGTGCCGCCATACAGACCTAGTTTGGCGCCAGTACCCGCCATGCCACCCTGCAGAAGGCACACAAGAAACAGGTCACAGTGCCCCGGTCTCCCGAATGGATACGGCTGAGGCTGCTTTATGACCACTAGGGGTCCTAGGAAGAACCACTGCCCTCATGCTGGAAACTAAGCCCCGCCTCTCGCCATGCGGCTCTCTTGAGCCCCAGTGTCACCTTGAGCCTCTCAGATGCCATAAGTCCTGGAAACGCCATAAGCCCCAGAGACCCCTCAAACCCCAGGATCATCTCAAGCTCCTAGGATACCACAAACCCCAGGAATCTAGTGAAAACCTAGGATCAGCTCAAGCCCTAAGTACACCATGAACCCCAGGGACTCCTCAAATTCTGGGATCATCTTGGCCAATGAATTCTAGGGACACCATGACCCCAAGCGTCACCTCAAGCCCATGGTACACCGTGAATTTCAGGGACCCCACAAGCCCCAGGATCAATCAGCTCGAGTTCCTGAAACACCATGAACCCCAAGAATGCCCTGGACCCAGGGCCAGACCTAGCCTGTAACACCTGGGTTCCTAAATGCCCACTAAACAGACAGGGACAGCGGTCCAGAGGTCATCACCGGACATGCCCTGGTAGATGACAAGACAATGCCTTGGTCCCCTACGAGGCCCTCTAGGTGGGCACAGCGCGAACCCTGTCAGTTTCCCCTCCCCCGCGCCCTTCACCCCCGGCAGGGTTAAGAAAGAGGCAGAAGCGAGTGGAACAGCTTTGGGAAGGGCACCTTACCCTCCTCTTCAGACATCGTAAGGAAGGGAGTCCCACTCTGAGTGCTGTAGGATCGGCGTCTGCGCTGCGGCTGGACCCGCTGGATCGCGACCGTGCCCACGAGGCAACTGCAGCAGATAGAGGCGCCAAACGGAAGGACTGAGACCTCCCCTCCTAAGAGAAGCTTCTGCGACTGCGCAGTAGCACCCCAGAACGCGCCACGGGAGCACGACTGTTGGGGGTAGGGTAGAGGTGGCGCCAAGTGTGGCGCCTTGCCTCGCTCCGTTTCTACCTACACGTATACATTTTATGAAATGTGCTTTCCCCTGCCCCCAATATGTGAACTAGTAGCCACCAGTGTAATTCTGCTCCTCCCAGAATGCTCTTCACACAATACATCATAGAAAAAAATGTACAACGTCAGAATTCAGACTTCCTAATGTTTTCCGGGTTGTGTATTCATGTCCAGCACCACCTTTGGGAACAAATCTGAAAATAATCCAAATTTTAAAATATGTCTCTAATAAGACTCCGCTAAATACACACCACCTTGCGCTTTAGCTGTCCTACTCTCTACTTGCCGTTTTCTAAAGAGCCATGTCCTTCATTCCAACTTAAAATAATAATAGGTACGGTTTACTGAGTGCTCACCACAAACCAGCCCCTTAGTATGTCTGACCTCATGAGGTCCTCAACCACTATAACAAGTCAGTATTATTGTCCCATTTTAAAGATACAGGAACAGATGCTTAGAGAGTTTAACTTGCTCAAAACCACAGGCTAGTAGCCGAGTTTTGATCTGAACACACACTGCCCCCCCCAAAGCACATGCTCACATCCCCGTACGTTACTCTCCCTCTTACTCGGTTGCTTCCGGAAATTTTCCACACCCTTAAAAGCTTGTTCAGACATCTATTCTTTTTTCTTTTTTTGAGATTTTTAAAATTTATTTCAGAGGGAGTATGAATGGGGGAGGGGCAGAGGGAAAAGCGGGGTCCCAGAGAGCAGGGTACCCGACTCTGACCGTTGGTGGGGCGGGGGCGGGGGAACTCTAGGATCATGACCTGAGCCAAAGACAGAGGCTTAACTGACTGAACCACCCAGGCGCTCCCTCCACCCCACCCCACCCCCGCAGACATCTATTCTAATAATATCTGCACCAAGACACTTTCCTAGAGCACCCTGGTAAAAATGCAGAGTGCCACCATGCACTGTTTATATTAAATAGCATTTCTATCACAAGGTTCTAAGAATTGTGTTACAAAATATAAAGCACCCAGCACAGAGCCTGGAATTCTGGTTCCATTTCACTGGATCAGTTACACAATGACTCCTGGCACCATGCATCTCCTCATCCTGGGGAAGGGTAAGTTTCTTCACATGGGAGAAGAAAAGGTGCATAGTGTTAGGTGGAAATATACAGTTGTTTCAGTGTTGCAAGGCGGGGGGTAACCGTGCACAGGAGGGTGTGTAAGGAAGCTGACCAGAAGAGTGAACACACTGTACAGTTTATTGATACATTACCTCTCAGTGTCGAATCCAGCCCTTTGCCCTGCTCTGAGAAACTGGGTATGGGCCCTGTATGTGTTTTCTCTTCGCTGGTAGCACCGTGGAACACTATTCAGTGGGAAACACAGGAGAGCAAGTGTAGAGGAAACAAGTTGTGCTTCCTAGTCCCGTTTGTCTGTAGTCAGGCTCCTGCCTATACAGAGTGCAGTGTGCAGCCTCCTACCCCAAACACACCCCTGGGAGGGCAGGTCTCTAGCAAGTTCTCGAGGGTGGCTCTGCAACAATTTCCACCAATGCTGCCCTGAGTGACGCATTTCCCTCAGGGAGTCAGAGTCGAGCCTTCCTGGGTGTAATGTCTGCTCCTACAGGTGGTAGCTGTTTGTAGCTCGTATTCCTACACTCTTTTGGGTTTCTTTATTTCTAACCAGCGGTCCCTCATTATTCCAATCCTGATATACTAAGTACTTCTTTATATTAAACTTTCTCTGTTCAAATTACTCTACGGTCTTTCTCTTCATCTTGGACCCAGGCTGATCCACGTGCCCTTTTGAGTTTCCGTCCATCACCTAGCGCTTGAAAGGAACAAACTGTCTGTTACTACACTGTAACTAAGCATCCAGCAGATGGTGGACAACCACTTCCGTTTCGTATCTAGTCAGTCCTCCATCCATTCCTGTGACCCCTCTTCTCCATAAAGAGACACAGAATGCTAAAAAAGCTGGATAAACTGTTCTTAAAATAAGCTCGAGAACATCAAAAAGTTAATAAAACAATAAGGAATTACTGAGCCAGGAGCTGTGAAACACCAGAAACCTAAAAAAATGTGAAAACGTGGCAGGACTGCTTTTGCTTGAAGACACTGATGCGGAAAAGTCTGAAAGAGGCCAAGCTGTACTTCTGGTGACTTTGGAGGACTAGTGACAAAAGTCAGAATCTGGGACCCTCTAATAACAGAGGGCTGGTAAACTGCCCTTTGCTTGAACAAGGACCATAGTCACCCCTTCAGAGTAAAAGTAATCCAGGGACGCCCAGGTGGCTCAGTTGGTTTAGCATCTGCCTTTGGCTCAGGTCACAATCCCAGGGATTATATTCGGCATTGGGGTCCCTGCTCAGCAGAGAGCTGGCTTCTACTTCTGCCTGCCTCTCCCCCTACTTGTGCTCTCTCTCTCTGTGTCGAATAAATAAATAAAATTTTTAATAAGAAAAAACAGAATTAAACAACAGTTAACCACACAGACTATAGTTCAGTCTCCTATCATCTGGGGATTTAACACCCCCGGGTGCTTGGCATAGTAAACAAAAATTCTTTCCCATGAATATAAGATCAACATATTTCTACAAGCAGTATTTAAATAGGATATCCAGCACAAAGTAGAATATAACAAAGTTTAGGAGAAGAAAAGACAGAAGAAATAAGCAATGAAAACAACTATCTGAGTGACAGCGCCGCCTGCTGGCAGCCACCGCCACAACCATACAGCGCTTGCGCCCGCAGTGGTCCTGACACCTGGACCTGGCTAGTGATGTTCTGGAAGCAGCTACTCTGTGAGCATCCTAGGACATCCAGGGGAAGGATCCACATGGAAAATCCCCAGAACCCCAAGTTCTCAGGAAGGCGCCTCCTCACCCTTTAGTAAGGGATGGAAAACGTCATTTGGGCAAAGTGGGGGAGAGAGGCTGAACTGCAAGCTAGGAGCACCGCACGGGCTCGGAGCGCATGGAGTCCAAGCGACAACCCCACCTT